ACTAGTGGCTATTGCTAAGGGAAGCCTGGACTGGAATATAAAGACAGCACAGAAACTCTCTGAAAAAGTAAAAAACATCTTTGCTTATTCTTTTAGTTGAGGTATTTTTTTATATATGACACTGTTCCTGAAAAGATAGTTGTATTACACATCACAGATCCTGAGTGTATGCCACCATATCATTCAGAATTGCCAGTGTAATTAAAAACAAGAAATACATTTACTTGCACATTAGATACATTAGACCCACCAGTCAATCGCAACTAAATAACTTCTTTAAAGCTAAAGAGATCTAATAACAGAATTCTTAACTTAAATTGAGTGGATCTTCTGATGAAATCACAGTGTCCAAGATCTTTCGCAGAACATAAGATTGATCTCACTGGGTCAAAAAGTCTAGGGTCCTGTTTCTTACAGTGGCTAAAAGTAGATGCTGTACAAGAATGCAAGAATGAAGCAAACTTTTGTAATACCTGTAGACACTATTCTATTTGACTAGTAACAGAAATTCAGTTTTTTCTTGAGACAGGCATTGTTTGTACATCTATGGAAACAGTATTTTGTCTTCCTCAAACTTGTCTGATCTTATCTTTGAATGCACACAAACTGTTAACACCCTATCTTGGAACAGAGTCCTACAGTAATGTCCACTCATGTCTGGTTTTCAGTCTGTTCCTGCTAGTTTTATTTGATGCACTTTAGCTCTTGGAGTTGCAACAGACAAGCAATTGCAGACTTACATGATTATTTTTTAATGTTCCTAGAGCACATATCACATACTTCCATTACAGACATCCACTGTTCCACAGCAGTACCACTGACTGGGTTCCTTTTTGTTTTTCAGTTTGAATACAATGATGAAGGAGTGACCTCAAAGGATATGGCCACACAACTTGCCTTCATGCGTCTGCTGGCCAACCATGCCTCCCAGAACATCACCTACCACTGCAAGAACAGCATTGCTTATATGGATGAGGAAACTGGCAACCTTAAAAAGGCTGTCATACTGCAGGGATCCAATGATGTTGAACTACGAGCTGAAGGCAACAGCAGATTCACTTTCAGTGTTCTTGAGGATGGCTGCTCTGTAAGTAATGTAGAAACCATGGGCACTATGATTGCCCATGCTTAAGCACATAGTTGGGGACAGAGTTGGGCTTTGATTTATTTGAATTAGAGCATCAGTGAAACCAGCAAAATTTTACCCAGTGAAGATAAATAGCTCAAAAAAAAACAGCTATGCCAGATGGTTAAAAAGTGGGAAGGACTGGGGTACAAACGAATCCTGCCTTGTACTGTGCAGTGTGGCAAAAGAGAAAAAGCTTTTCAGAGAGACTAGACCCAAATTCTGTGTAAGCTGAAGATTGATAAGAAAACAGTGCACAAGCTGAAGGAGGGGCAGGATCTTTAAGTCTTGAAAAACTGAGGCAGGTGTTTCTGAGCTACCAATGAATAATATGGCAGCTCATGTAGACCATCACAAATGTGACTTCAGAAGATTAAACATTTTCTCTGTATCAGTGCTCTAAATACTTGGATATGGGTATCTAATTTGCAAACAATGGCAGCAAAACTAGTATGAAGTTCTTTCAGAAATTATCCATTCGGGTGAAGCAATTCTCAATACTATAAACAATACAATAACAATTGCAATGAATCTTCTCTTGCAGAGAAAGAACAACCAATGGGGCAAAACAATCATTGAATACAGAACAAATAAGCCATCCCGCTTGCCCATCCTTGACATTGCACCTTTGGATATTGGCGGCGCTGACCAAGAATTCGGTTTGGACATTGGCCCAGTCTGTTTCAAATGAATGAACTAAAATTAACTTAAAGCCTCTTCCAAATTATTCTCTTGTCATTTCTTTTTATAATGAAAGCTGACTCCTTCCATTTCTTCTGTTCATCTACTTGCTTAAACTCTGGGCGAAAGAGAAGGAGAAGAATTGATTGGAGCATTGTGCAATGAAATTTAATACAGCCCCCAAAGGACTTGGAAGTCTTTCAAGATTTAACACCTTGCTGTGGGAAATGTCAACCTTTGTAAATTAAAAAAAAAAAAACAAAATAAAAAAATCATGAAAGTTTGCACCACTTGTGGCCTTTGAATATCTTCCACGGAGGAAGTTTAAAACCATGACTTCCAAAGGTTTAAACTACCTCATACACTAAATCAAGTGTGATCCATATCTTTTGTAGGTACTTCTCCTTATGATCTGAGGTACTTTCAGTTCCACTCAAAATACAGTGGTGCTAATTGCGTTATTACAGACTATCTTTCCGATACTTGAACTTTGATGGTGCTAGTAGCATTTGAAGTATCACTTCTCTGTTTTTTTGAAGTCTGTCTCAAAGCTTAGAATGTCCTGTCTCACCCACAGCTTAAGCATGTGGATAATTTTTCCTCAACTTTGTCCTCTTCCTCCAAAATCAGGTGTTCCCATTTTTGAATCTCATTTCCATCTCCTACGATGGGTTAAAAAAAAAAAATCATCATTTCTCAAGAAAAGAAAGAAAATGTATTTTGTATATGTGAGATGTTTAAATAAATTGTGAAAAAAAAATAAAGCATTCCAGTGTTCCAAAAGAAACTATTTAATGAGTTAAGTTACTTGCTTAGATGCAGATATTTATTTATACCCAGAATTTACAATACATTTGCATTACTGCAGCTATCTTAGCCCACTGCTGTAAAACATTTGCTTAGAGTATTCAAAGACTGCCTACAACTGTCTTAAGGGTGTGATTGTCTATTTGACTCTTTGTTTCAAAACCACCTTTTGACAAGTCCACGAGGAACTCAATAACTCCATGCCTCACAGTATGAGAAGTTCAGGAGCAGAAATAATCCCTTCCTTTTTTTCAAAATGCTAAGCAGGATTAATGGCTGAAAGAAGGATAATCTCACTTAAGCATAGAAAGAAAATTAAGCTTCTTTGAAGACAGGAAGCTGCTGGCTGTTGACAGAGCTGTGCTTGCTGTGCTGTAATGAGCAGAACTGTGCCTGTGTGCTCTGGAAATGATGTGCAGAGGTCTATGCAAGGAATCTCTAAATTTAGTTGCCTTGTCAGGAAGATCAGGGTTTGTTAGGCCATTGCAGTTCCGTCAGTTCTGTGTGAGACACAGAACTATCTGCTGTTGCTAACCTTAATAATTTACAACCACAAAAACACCATGGAAAGGAAAGACTGTTCTTAATCTGAGGCCTTTTAAGAGACTACTGTAACACAGTGCATTTCTGAAAACCCTGAATGAACTGCAGTTCCAACAGCCATGTTTCTGGAATCAACGAAGGTGCTCGCGGAGCACATGGAGGACCATGAAGACAACAGCAAAAGCAGGTAAGGGAAGAAGTGAGACAGGCTTAGTCAGCAGGATCCCCCAAAGGCAAGCGTGAGGAAAATATCCAGGAGTTCCCTGTAACCTGAAGAAAGCACCACTCCAAAGGTTACATCAAAGGTTAGCAGCTGAGAGTCTGAAGGCAGCTCCAAATGGTGCACGAAGGTATAAGCACTAAAAACTGTTTCCAAAGAAAGGTTTTCGTTCATGCTTGCAATGAACTGTATAAAGAAAAAAGGGCAAACATAAAAACATGGCCCTACATGCAGCTGCTCTGTGCCCACAGCTCTGTGCTGAATTAGTAAAAGGGGAATTGCCATGATAAAATAAAACCCATTTTTTCTTGAGTAGAATATACTGCAGGTAAACACCTGCATTTATTCATTGGACCATGGTGATTCTTAAAGCGTTAATATTTTTATCATTGTCTTAGTATTTCAAAATATAATTTTAGATGTTGTTCTAAAAAGAAAATAATATGTTAAGATGTTAAAAGTTTATTTTCTCATAGATTATTTATAAGCCAGGAAGTTCTTACATGACTGAAAATATAAAACTGCATCCCTCAGACTGTGTAATCAACTATGACATATGAAGGTTATTGCTAGGACTGGGAGGAGGACTATTGCTGCTTGGGAATGAAAAAAAAACAAACCACAGTTAAAGTAACATGTGAAGTTTAGAAAGGAAACTACAAAGGGCAAATGCTCTCTCTTTTGTCATCTTCTGATTTCTCCTTTGCTCTCTGTGATCTGTTCCACAGCATGTCCTGCCAGGCAGAGAATGCTTGCTTTCTACCAGGCCATTGGTAACTTCCAAATTCTTCTCTGTTTTCACACCTTGACCACAGAAGTGGACTCATTTGGAAACAAAGCCACAAAAAATACATAGCACCTACCTCACAACTTCTAAACTTATTAGTGCCAAGAAGATAGTGTGGTTTGCAGGCTTGAAGCACATCAGAACTTACTGCACAATCAAGTATTTTGCTTATGTTATGTACAATATTGAAGAAACTGTCTTTTCTCTCTAGGATTGTAGCTGAAAATAACTGAGATGAATCGCAGACAGGGCAAGGAGCCTTCATATCATCTAATTTCAGGAATATAAAATGTTGAATAAACTTCTGGTAAAGTGAGCTTAATTATCCTCGGGAGTAGTCTGCCTCCTTAAAAGGATTATCTCTGGAGAATTTAATTATGACCAGGTATTTATCAGTAGTAATGCAACCAGTTTAAATTAACATAAATTAGTTTAAACAACAGGGTTAAAAATAGATTAAAGTTTGCATTCAGAACAAGAAGAAATCTGGAAGGCGTTTCAAACACTGAGATAACAGCAAGTTCAGATAAAGCAATATGTGGTGCATAAACGAAGATCTTTCACAGAAATGACTCTATGTCTGTATTCTTAGGCTAGAAGAAATTTGTCCTTTCCTGGAAGATGGGTGACTGACTACAGGCATTACATGAGCAAAATTTACCAAATGTGATTCCATGCTTGAGTGTACTCTCCAACTAACCATCAAACGATGGTTCTCATTAAGCCAAATATAAGTATCAAAACAAATGCAACATTTGAATGCCATTTCAAACACAAGCATTTGAAATACATGTAATTAATTCCAATAATTACCAACACCGTCTTAAAAACATATATTTTATTTTCTCTTACTCCATTCAAGCTACTGAAACTGGTTGGTTGGGTGAAATGAAACAAGTTTTCTAGAACGCAAATCCTCAAGACCCTTAGAGGACCAGCAAAAGCAGTTCTCCACACGCATAGTGCACCACCTATTGACTTAACCACTCATTACCGGCTCCTGCAGAGAGTTTTTCTTGTTTTGGTTGTTTTTTTGCCTGAATTCACTGTCATGGTTACTATCCAAATCTTCTGACCTGCTGACCAAGGGATCAGTATTACAGCTCATCCTGAAAACATATTAGTTTATCAGAAGAGCACCCATCCAAACCAGGCACGCTCCTGGCAACAAACTGCAGTCTTACTCAGAGTAGAAAAGACAATAATGATTTAGACTTTGAGGTGTCAGGTTCTATGAATCAGAAACAGCAGATGCAAATTCATCTGATTAAGAGCTTACAAATGTTTTTTAACATGCAGTCCTTAACTCACCTGCCAGGCTGCTGCAACAACCTCTGTGCAAAGATACCACTGTTAGATGGACTTTTGTCATTTTAGGTATGCAGTACTATTTAGTACTTTTTACTATCTGAAGCTCATGATAGCATTATCTTGCCCAGAGAAGCTGTGGCTGCCTCATCCCTGGCAGTGTTCAAGGCCAGGTTGGACAGGGCTTTGAGCAACCTGGTCCCCATGGCGGGGAGTGAAACCAGATGATGTTTAAGGTGCCTTCCAACCCAAACCGTTCTTTGATTCTGTGATACTGAAAATAACAAATTTAAACTGATTATCTGATGTGATCTACTGTGTTGAAAAACGGCCGGGATTTCTCTTCATTTTCAAGTTGCTTTGCACTCTTCTGCCACCTTGAGGGGGTAGAGCCATCTTCTGAAAAACAGGAGGTGTTTCTAAGGCTTATTTGCAGAATGGAAGCACTCTGTCAAAGCCGACAGACAAGAGTAAAGATCCCTTCTGGTTGTATTAGGTACTTTTTTTCCCCTTAGATCAAGGCCATATAAATATTATATGTATATATAGTTTGTTCTTGTCTCACCTCTTTATCAGCTAATTCTCGGCTTCCTGCTTCCATGTAAATAGTATGTTAGGGTTTTTGCTTTCAGCTTTGAAAACAGCATTTTGATTGCCTCTTTGCTAGTATTTAGATCCTTATGCTCCAGCACTATAGAAAGGAAGACATCTGAAAAGATTAAATTCTTCCACACACCGTGAAAACAGGCAGACGGGCAGTGGATAGAGAGTTGTATCTGTTTTCCCTGTGAGACTGTGGGCTTAAAGTATGACAGAGAAGGGCTGACTCAAACTGATAACAAGAGACAACTGCTGAAGGATATGGGCTTCAGTAGTTTCACTGCATATAGTTTTGTTCTGGTTTTAAGCTCTAGAGAAAGTCATATTCTTTTAGTTAAGCCTCTCAGTGCAAGTGTTTTTAAAGCATAAGCAGAACATCACATCAAAGAATTAGATCCATATGCCTATCATTAGAAGCAACTATTAGTGTGCCATACACAGGAAAGTTAAAGCTAGAAACAAACAATAACAGCTGTCCTGCAGATTCCAACTCACCAGGCTCATAACACAACGTTTCTTCAAATGGCACAACTACTCAGCTATCTGTTAATTCCTAAATGACAAATCTTTGCTAAGCCTGAGGTGCACAGTAGCCCATGTTGGCATTTTGCATATCTATGTTTACATTTCAACATCATAAAATTACATAGACCCATTAGAGCTCACAGAAACACAACAGAGCACCATACAGACAAAAATAAAGGACAGAACAGTGTGAACCCTAAGAACACTCTGTGATATTCTTCTTAAATTGAACTACCCCTATGCAATTTCATCTTTAAATAATGATGCAGGGAAATATTTCAGTCTGTTAACCCATTGCTGATACTTCAGCAAACTCATGTTTCAGTGAGCCTGAGGCTAACAGAGAATTTGTTTTCCAAGGTTCCATAGAATCATTTGGGTTGGAACTGACTTTAAAGACCATCTAGTTCCAATCCCTCTGCCATGCACAGACGAAAGGGAACAATCATCTCAGGGTGGGCTCAAACCACCAACCTTTTGACTAACAGCCTAACATGCTAACCGATTGTGCTACAGAGACTCCCTACTCCCAACTAATTTGTAATAAAAACAATTTTCCTCCCTAAATTAAAATTACCTTCCTAAAAACATCGATTGCAAGTACCTGAGCTACTCTGCACTAAATCCTACTGTATCTTTCAAGCTGAAAAAAACTTAAAATGTTTCTTTGTAGTTGGTCATGTCATATGAGATCTAAGTAATTCAGTGCTCAAATGGAAGAAATACTCAACAGCACCCTGTAAATTCCAGTAAGAAATTACAATAGAAAATAGAAAATAAATAATGTTGTCATTATTGGAGAAATGGTGGCAGGTTTTCCCTATTTAGTATGGAGAAAAAAGCACTCCTCCGAAGGCTTGATCTCTCACTATCGAAATCAACAGATAGGGATATTTTCCAAAATCAACACATAGGGATGTTTTCCTCACTCAGTCAAGCATGCCCAGTTCCACCTAATTCCAAACTCATTTTAAAAAAGTTGGGAAATTAGCATAATTCGAAAGAGACAAGAGTTACATCAAGTTCAGTGAGAAATGACCTTCTGGAGATACAGGTTATAAAACCTGGTTTATTCCATTTCTAATATAGCTTGGGTTTCACTCCTGAAACAATATTACAGAATCAAGTATATAATTATCAGTTGCGTGAAAAAAATCAGAGTTGACATTTAATAATTTCCAAAAAGTATATTTTTGCACAGGCACCCCTAACAGTCACCCACAATTTTTCATGCACAAATAAAGTTTCCCATGTTTTGACTCTTCCATTTTAGCTTTTGTCCCATAAATTATTCACACTTTCCCATTTTTATATTTGCTTTTAAGTTTTAAATACCATAGCTTGTTCATAGCTGGTTCCACAGTGAAATATGTGCTTCTTTTACAATCACCCAGTTTCCCTGCCTGAAACACTGCTGGATAAGCAACAGCAGCTGAGAAAATGAAGGGAAGGCTGCTGAATTGAGGACAGCTTAAAAATTGCTCTGCAGAGCTGGGGTATTCTCAGTGGCCAGATGAAGGAATTGCAGTGCATCCTCCCCCCCAGCAGCATTAAATAGCCTAGTCAAGTACTTGCCAATTGACATAGGTATATTTAATATTTCATTTTCTATTTTGGAGAGGTTCTGAAACACTAAAGTGCACAAAAACATAGTGTCAATCATACATAAGTGTAAACATGCCAGTCAGCTTTGGGGTCTGAAACACAGTGGAACATTCTTCCAGTTTCTCATAGGCAGTAGGAGACATAACTTCATTCATCGTTCATACTTACATTGTGCTTATTTTTTATTTAGCCAAATGTCCATTGTTGTCAGACAGAGTGACCGGAATCAAGAGAACGACTCAATATGAGTTATGCTTCTTGTTCGTTTTATACAAATCCTTAACCCTTTATATACTATTTCTTACATGCACTTACAGTGATTTGGCATATTAGGATTGGATACATGTCCTGAAGACCCTTAGTGACTAACATATAATTGGTTAAACACAGGTGTGAGAACTCGACCTCGAAAGCTTGCCAACGGTCCACAGTTCTCATTAACTTGGTGAATTCCAGCCTCTTCTCTTGCTTGCTTAAGCTTCTTTGGGCCTCTCATGGCCTTGCTGTATCTTTCAGGATTATTCAGAGTTTATGTACCAATTATGCATTCTCCCGTGAGAACACTGTCTCCACGCGTTGTGACATTGAAGTTTGCTTCTGTCCAGTCTCAAGGACTACCCCATCCCACTGTTCCAGGCATTACTGCAGGGAATAATGGCTGCTTCACTTCTCACTTTCTTTTCTAACAGAAAAGCTATGCCTTCTTGTTCTAACTTTTTACCTACCTTCAACTCTCAAAATGTCACTCCTTCCTTATACTGCTTTTATCTTGTGAACACTGTTTTGCAAGGAAATCCAACTTTCCTCATTATCTGAGCCTCTTTGTGATGTTCTTTTGATCACACAAAAGGTTCTGCCTGTTTTCCTTTTTTCTTTGCTGTGTTTCACTCTATGTTGATTGCTGACCCCATTACAGACTTCAGGCTTTGAAAACTGAAGAGCATCAACAGGCACAAGTCATGAACAAAGCTAAAAGAGTAGGTGCTATGCAAGCACAGAACGAAAAGATTCCTCCTAGAGTTGAAACGAGTGAAGCCTGTCCAAGCAGGGCTAGCAGGCAAGTAGGTGTGTGAAAAGACTTTTAAAAGCTTTTAATAGGAGTTCTATTATCTTATAAATCATGTTAAAAAACTATATATTTGGGCTTAAACTGTTTCCAGATGGTATCACGGGAAAGAGCACACTTGTTTCAGTAGCACAAAGTATAAAAATTAGACTAAAGACTGGACCTAGTTGGCCTATAGACAGGATGAAAATTCAGTTATATTTTCATGTTAAATTTGTAGTAATGGAGCTTTATATTAGTGATTTGATATTAACCCCTAGAAATGATGTGCACTCAGGCATTGCTCCTCTGGGATGAATCCCATGCTTGTTTGGGTGGTTGCACTTCAAGATGCACTGAATCCTTCCTGAACAGTTGGATCATCTACCTGTTTGTTTTTTTTAACATTTCTTTAGCTAATATTCTTTAACATTTTAAAATGTAGAAAGAATCAGTACTAAGTTGTTTTTTGGTCTATTACATCTATAAAAACTATTCTGCCCATGTATTTCATTCAGTCTTCTATTACATTGTTTTAGTTCATTTGCTATATTCCCTAATTAGTGTTTTCGGTAAAGTTCTTCCTGGAATTTCCTTGCTTCTTAGCTTCAGGTCAGGGTAATTAATAAATGAAATAGGGTAATGAATAAATGAAAAGAAACTCTCACACAGATACCTGGCTTTTTTATCAGAGTACACCTGCCTAACATCATCAGTGGACAAAGGTGACTATTGATGAAGGATATGTTTTAGCTGCACACTAACCATAAGCTGCCTGAGACACTGAAGTAGGACTTTCCGAACTCAAGTCTAAGAATTTTTTAATGGACCAGTATCAGACAGACTACTAATTGACTGCACAGAATGTTAATGATGATTAGAGTTAATGATTTTTTCTAGATATTACACTGATAAAAATGGAAATTGTATTTTTATAATTTTTTTTTCTCTGTTTTAAAAAGGACATGGTAATTACAGGATGAAATACGTATTAGAGAAGACTTCTAATGATCTTAAGGTCCTTTCCAACCATAACTATTCTATGATTCTATGACACAGCTTGGACAGTGGCTGTGTAGGCTTCCAAAGACTGTCCCATAAAGTATTCCGAATTTTAAAGAGACACATCTGGGAGCATAAGGGGGAACCGGGAAGAGGAACAATGTGAAAACAAATGTTGATAAAATAAGAGTAACTCAGTTTAACAACGAGCTAACAGTGACTGCCATTTTCTCTCAACTAAGACTCAAAGAGAGGCGGGTAATAGGAAAAACGTAGTACCTGCAAACTAAGAAACTCACTTAAATGGAAAATTCTTAACCCTTTACGTTGACGAATATGAAACTTTGAGGATAAGAATCTAAGCAAAACCAACAGATTTTCATCAATGAACTGTGCAGAGACCTGGTCTGGACTGAAGACTGCATTAACTGCACCATGTTGACTACACCCTGTGATGCAGAAAGATGCAACCTTTCCACTGTCCTTAATGGAAGAGGACAGATGACTTAAACATTTGCAGTTTGGCTATTTCCCTTCTAGCCTTGCATGGTCTTCCATCAAAGAGAAGGACACTCTTAAAAAACCTATGACCTGTGGACTTTGCTGTCACCGTCCCAGCTAACTAGGCCGTGGCAGTTAAACCTCAGGTGTAAAGGGTGGGGCCAGTTCTGCACAAGCTGCACTTCACCTAAAAAATCCACTGCGCAGGCTGGAAGGGCTCACTCTCACTCTCACTTGTCTATGGACATGTGAGGGTCTAAACGGTAGGTGACAAGGTGCACAGGAAGCTGAAGATCCAACGCTGCATGTGGGCGGACCAGTGCATGAGTAGCTCAAGTTAGCTCAGGAGTTGACAGTCATGGTTGGACACTTCCTGATTGCCTAAACAGCCTTTTTCTCCAATCAGATTTGGATATCCCACTTATGCTTCGTCACAGTGCTTATGGTAAGCTTGGTTAAAGCCATTCCCAAATCTTTGCTCACGAAGCCAAGCCATCATCATCATCATTTCCCTTCCCTGTCTCCGTTCCTTCAATCCACCTCTATTTTAGATCCACAGAAACCTGAAATGGAAACACTATTGAGACTCATGTTATAGAACCACAGATGTATTTATCTACTACTGATAAAGCTAAATATAGCCTTTGTAGATGTGATTTCAAAACTACTTCACTTAATATGAGCTTGATTTTAGTACAGACTATTGAGGAACCGTTTTTATAACTGTTACAAAATCAGAAATCTGCAAAAGCAGCAATTTGTGTCAGAATTCCTAAGATCTTACAGGTTTGGTGATATTTTAGTTTCATTATTTGACTGAGACAGTACTCAGGGTACGTTGTTTGATTGAATAGGTCTACTGAGAATAAATCTTACTCTCTGTACAACCTCTTCATTAATGCAATCAAGTATTTGCAATAAACAGCTACCATGCATGCACATAGAGTCATAGAACGGTTTGGGTTGGAACATGCCATGTGGAAACTTCATGCTTATGGGTTGATTGTTCCTACAAAGCTGAAAACTCAGCAATTAAAATGCCTGATGCCATCATTTGGCAAATACACAAAAGCTGTTGAAACAAAAGCTGCAGTATTGAGAATATTACCCTTCTCAGGAATCTGTTGGAGACACAGCTTTATTTCTGGAATTAGAATATGACCAGAGCAATCTGACAATGCTGCACAAACTAAATTAGGGTGTGAAATGGTTTGGGATATGGCTGTTGCTACTGATTAACGGTTTAACACTTAACCTCTAAGGTAAAGTAGGGGTTATTCAGTTAGTATATAACAAGCAGTATGTTCCTTATAAACATGAACATTTTCCTTACTGAATTTACAGATTAGAGGTAAGCCACCATTTTAATTCCAGCTCTTTTCTAAAAAAAAGTATATTTGCCTACATTCCTTGCTAGATATACTTTTGCAAAAATAATTCCACTCCTATACAGATATAAAAATTCTAAAGGGAAAACATCACGAGAATGCCCTAGTATTCCTTTGACTGAGACTGTTTAAATATAGTTTCTCTGACTTTATACTGTAGTAGTCACTTCATCTGTTCCTACATGCTCAGTCCTTGGGATTGCTGTGCGCCTTTGACCAAAGACAGTAAATCTAACTAAATCTAAGCTACATGTGACTGTAATGCTGAAAGCAGGAAAATCAAGAGAAGGGGATCTACTGTGAACTAAGCTGATCAGCAATCTCGTATGTGTGAGCCAGGTTTGATCCACAGCACAAAGCTCTCCTTCTGTTTACACTGAGCCTGACAAGCAAAGTGAAGAAGCAGCAGAGGAAGAATTATCTCACCAAAATTAGACCTGTGTAAGTAGCATCTGTTCAATTCAAACTTAATACCTAAATTCAACAGAGTCACCATTCCTGATGGTAAATCATCCACCTTAATTCTAACTTAATGAGTAAATTACTGGCACCTTACTTGCACCATTCTACAGAGGCAGATCAATGATTAGTTTAAAATGGATTGGTTCCCTCTAAGTGGTGGAGTTATGTGAGATGAACCCCACGTTTCCTGACTGCTTTATTACATTGACACATAGGGGAAGTAGTGCAGCCAAAACCCACAATAATCTTTTTAGCTCCTGTCATTACTGACCATACACAACACCACACTCTTATGAAAATAATGAATTTAGTTAAGCCAAGGCTATGTCTGTAGAAAATAGAAACATGAAATGCCTCCTGATGCTTTTCATTCCTAATATTCACAGATGTTAATATTCATGGATGTTACCCCATGCATGCAGTAGTATTATATCTCCTCTGCCTCCCAAAGGAACTGCTTCTCTGTTTGCTGGGTCTTCTCTCTGCAGCTGCTGTAGGTATTCTCTTCCTGCTGACAGCCTTTGGTGCTTCCAGCAGTTCAAGCAGAAAGCCAATGCGAAGCTTTAGCATTTGCAAAACAAAAGCTGAGGTTTGACAGATCAGAAGAGCTGGCAGACTTCTGGTTTACTTCCAGCACTCTGAGTTTATCGGCAGACAGGAAAATAGGTTAGGCACATAATTTACAAAGCTACTTCTAGCTAATAGTAATTCATGTCTGGAGTTGATTCCATAGTGTACTTTGCAATCCCTAATTAGCCTTTTATATCAGCTCTATTATATATAGTGGCTTCGGTGTGAGTTACTTAGTTATAACATGCCAATTTCAATTAGCCTGTGAAAAACAAGGAGGTATCTGTAAGAAGCAAGGCTGCATGCATGCAGAACACTTCCTAACTCATGGCACTTCAGCCAAAAGCTTCTGACTGAACTGAGAGAGATCTCTCTTGCTGAACACCTGAGCAATGTCTCCAAAGGAGCGATGAAGCAAAAGCAGATGCCTTACATCCATGTAAATATTTAATATACACTGATGGATTTTTCTTATTCAACCTGCAACAAGATCAGTATGCATTTGAACAGTCCTAAAATAACAGACATGTAATCCACACATCATTTTCAAGCATCACTGAAGGCAAATGTTAGTGCTTCATGACAAATGAGGACTTCCCAGGGACTTCCAGCAGCAGGTAGCACATTTAAAAGAGCCTTCTGAAGGCTGTGAGACGGAGTGAGCATTTCTGGATGTTGTCATTTTCTGTGATATCTGTAATATGGTTGTTTTGGTAACTTTTTAATTTCTGCTGTTCTTTCATTGGAAGAAGCTGATTCAAGTTATGAACCCTGAAATCCTCCAGAGAGACCTTGCACTAGAGAGCTGAATTCTTTTTGAGAGGAAAAGTTATATTTCTCTGTTCAAACATTGTACCTAACTGAGAAGCTGAGTCAACACTTCAGGAGCTCCAGCTGAACTCCATCCTTTCTGCATCTATACAGCTTACAGTAACCACATTAATTAGGGTAAGTTTTGAAGTGCTAGACTCACAGTCATAAATTCACCTTGTGAACTTGCAACACAGCCTGCAAGCTTAACACAGTTATATTGCAGAATGAGCCAGGATGAAGCAAATATGTTTTGGTCAGATGAAAAGTCTTACTCATTCATGTTTACATGTTATAAAAGCAAATGAAGGAGAGTGTCTGTGGTCTCCCATGACTGCAGGAAATTCACATTTCATAAGACTGTTCAGAATCATGAATGAGCAACAGTGCAAAAAGCTACAAAATATACTGCCATAATACTTTCAGTTTGAGAAGCTGTTAATATTTAAGTTGCTTCTTAAAGTGTAAAAACTTGCAGCTGTTCCTTGAACACATGTGAAATGAGGACAAAGCAAGCTAAGTACTAACAGGAATATTTTAACAAATAATAAAGTTTGTTCACAGTAAGAAGGCTTTGAAAATTCCTGACTTTTTGAATGATGTGTGACCAAAAAATAAGCCATGAATGTGAATTTTTCATTTATGGGGTAAAAGAATCCATACTAGGACCAGATGGAGGGGGAGGGGGTGGTGTTCTGTTGGTTTTGTTGTTGTTTTGGTTTTTGAACCAAAGTTAGTTTTGAAAAATTTGAATTTGAAATTCAAAAAAACCCGACCCAGTAACTACAAATCTGGGCACTTGGGAGTTTACGTGGTACCTTTTTCCCTTCTCTCCCTGAAAGAATAAACCTGAACACTTTAACACTGCAAAGTGTTTTTATTATTTAGAAACATCGCTGAGAAAGTGAATTAATCAAAAGACTGAACTGAATAGAAAGAAATACAGGCTGTATGTCGGATGATAGTGAAAACATTGGTTGGGTGGAAATGGGATATAAATGGAATATTTAGTAACCGCACATAATAGAAGAACTCAGATTTTGTGTGTACACTACGTTGCGTTTGCATAATACCTTAAGTTCTTCTGGTTTTCAGATATTTGAAAATAAAACTTTGCCTGTAGTGTTTAAACTTCCTTGTTTTGTTTCAAAAGTTTCACTTCTTTTCCCCATGTTTATTTTTTCATGTATTATTCAATTAATAATCAAATTCAGTGATTTGCAGAACATTCAGAACAGCGTTTTCTGGATGACAAGGAAATTGAAGGATGGTGAAATAAAAACCAGAGACGACTGCTCGCTGCTTGTTTCCCATGTTTATGCGAATACACACTGAACACCTTTTTTGAGTTTTATGTCTGTGTATATACGGTTTATATACGGTCACCTTATTTTATGGCAGTGTGGTTAGTGTGGACACCTGCCCTGCTCCAGGCCCGGTGGGTCAGATGGGCAGCTTCTCACCATGAGGAAGGAGCACGTCGCGGAGAGCAGATTTGCTGCCCTGCACCTTTCCCCAGTTACGACTCGGGTAACTCCCTGTGGAGGAACAGGATTTCCCTTCGGTAATATTTCAGCATCGCTGGGAGGAAAGCCAGCACTGCCCGGTGCCAGCAGTCACGTACCGGGTCAGGAACAACCCCTCACCCCGATACTCCTTATGGAGCCCAGTCCCAATGGACCCCGGCGACAAGAGAGCTGCCGGGGGCCGGTAAGATGCCCCTTTCGCCGCCGCCCCTCAGCCGCTGGCCCGGGGCGCTCCGCCGCGGGGCGGGAAGCTCAGCGCTGGGGCCGCCCGCTGGAGGGCGAGGGAAAGAAGCGGCGCCAGGAGGAGGGCGGCGGCTCCGCCCCAGCAGCGGGGCGTCGGGCTGCTGTCAGCCGCTCCGGTGGGGACGGTGGCAGCCGGCAGTAGCGGCGGGGTCTGCCTTAGCCGCCAGCGGGGACCCAGTGCTGCCCCGCAGCGCCCGCCCGTTCCATCGCACACTGTTGTCATGGAGGAACCAAGATGGCGGCGCTGGCCTACACCGGGGGCAAGCGGGAGATCAACTACTACTTCAGCGTGAGGAGCGCCAAGGTGCTGGCGCTGGGCGCCGTCCTGCTCCTCACCGCCTGCCACGCTGCCTCCCGCCGCTACCGAGGTGAGGGGGCGGCCGCGGGCGCTCCGCGGGGGGCCGCGGCTGGCGGGCAGCGGGAGGCGGAGCCCAGGTGGAGCCCGGGGACCGCGGCCGTGCAGGCAGGACGGCGGCCCCTCGCCCGCCCAGGGTAGCCGCAGCGGAGCCGAGGGGCGGTGGGGAGGACGCTCGTACCCCTGCCCCTGCGGGCTGCTGCGGAGGGTGCAGCTTGGTGCGGCTGCTGCGGGAGGCGAGCCTGGGAACGGTGGCGGCGGGGAACCAGCGGCGGGAGGGGAGCAATGCCCCCTCCTCCGGGCCCAGCCTGCGGCGCTTCCCGTCGGGCGTGCATGACTGGCGGGGTCTGTGGTGGCGCGGAGCTCTGGCTGTGAGCGTAGCCCTATACCGGGGGCCTCGCCGGCGGCCAGGGGGTGACTTCTTCCCTGTCACTTGTTTCCCTACAAGATGGTTAACGGCCGTGACATGGCAATGAATGATTAAAATTGGTGTAAGGCTCGGTATATCGTGTTTTGCTGTTTGAACCGTTCATAACGAAATGCAGACTCTTTGGTATATGAAGCAAAATAAAAGAGTTGTTTGGTTTCATGTGTTACTAGTGGTTGTGGACAAGCCAGTAACCACGATCTGGTGACCACAGCTGGAGAACGTGTCAGGGCTGCATACGGGTGCATGTCAGTAACAGGCGTGCGGGGAGCTTTGCTATGCCTCTTCATTCGGGTTGTTTTGTCCCTGAAGCTGTGAACCTTGCCATGATCTGTAAATGCAGTGGAACTGCTTAAAGGAAATACTTTCTTGCTTCGTTCCGATTCACGCTAAAAAATGCGGTATGTCTTTTTGGGTAAATCAAAAAGTTGGTCCAAAGACAGATCGCTGCAGATGTGTTTACTGTAGGACAACTGGTGTTCTAACACTTGCTGCCAGAGTTCACAGAAGACAAGGCTGCAGAGATTTATTGTGGAAATGGGAAAGGGGGTAGGGATCTTTATGGATACAGTTCTCTAGATTCCCCCCTGGCTGGCATGTCAGTAAGTCTGATAAACTGACTAGTGCTAAGTTGCAAGATATGGAAGCATTCACTGAATTCTAGAGGAGCTCAAGCATAAAGTAATTGAATTTGCCTGTTGTGCTGTATTCCATAAGGCACAAACAGTGGCAAAACTAGGTGGAAGAAGGGTGGCAAGTGTGATTCTTCTTTTTAAAGAGGGATTGCAACACCGGTGTAAGAAAGTATGGACTACCACATCAAGCAGATTACAATGAAGCCATAATATAAATAAATGATATATATTGTGGGAGATTTAATGAGGGGGTGAGTCACAAATTGCAAAACTGAGAATCAGCAGGCCTTTATGTAAGATGATATGGTATATATGAATTTTCACAAAGCTTTCAACAAGTTCCTTTGCGTAAGGCTTTTAGTTTCTATAAGCTATTAAGAGTAACAGTGAGGCTTTCCTGTAACCCTTTAAAAGATAAGACAGAGTGGGAGTGAATACAGTTACCATCTTCGGCTGCTTTGAATAACATTCAAAAGACAAATGGTTTAGAAAAGGAGGGTGGGGCATTTATAGCAGGCAAAAGTTTTCAGGAAACAGAAAAGCAGAGGTGCTTGAGAGATCATTCTACAAGCCTTCAGTGACCTCAAACATCTGAAATTCAGTAAATGTCAGTGTATTTTTGGCAATTATACAAAAACAAACCAGAAGATTTCAAATATTATGAATTATTGGGGGAAGGTAAATTCATAGTGATTGTGTCATAACACAGAGAGTATCAACTGAAAAATTAGCATGCAATACATTTAAAATGATCAGAAGAAACCACTGTTTACCCCCTCCCCCCCCACTCCTCATGCAAGGCATTTTGAAACATGTTGCCAAGATTTTATACCAAAAATACCATGGAAAGGGTTATTCTGATTTGCAGAGTGTGGATGAGATGGGGATGTAAATGTGCTGCACTTGTGGCTCGAAGTTGCCAGGCTATGAAAGCCCGGACAGTCTAGGGAATGAATTGCTCTCTATTTGTCATGCTTTTGTGCTTTGTCTTTGAATATCTGTCCTTAGCTGCTGTCAGGAATAGGAGAGCAGACAAGACAGACTCTCTTGCGTGAACATATGTTCTGCCACAGTGGGGCAAACAAGAAATTTAACAATGAATTAACCACCCCTGTGAGTACTGTCTCTCCTTCACAGATGTCCAGGAATCTGGACGAAATGAAAGAGAGCTGCAAATGAACAAAAAGGGCTGAAATCTATTTTGTGGGATGTGTGGGGTTTTCCCCTCCCACCAAAACCTGGGTCTTTAAACCTGATAACTGAAATTTTTCATTAGTTGAAACAGCAACTGCTTGAATAATGGAGAAAATGAGATTGAAAATGGACATGTCATTCAGGGAGTTAGGCATGTCTAAAGCCACATACAAGATCCTGGTGTCTAGTAAGGCATATAAAAGGTGGCAAAGACCACAGCTGTCTTTGCAGAAAAATAATGTATTAAGTCAAAATACTCTGTTATCTCATGTTTTTTATTATTTACAAAGTCAGGCTTATACCACAGAAGCACACTGATGATGTTCTAGACTGTCTTACTGCAGTTTTTCCCTTGGACAGTTCAGCCAGAAGTAAAAAGCCACAGAGAACATATGTAACCAGACAGAGAATGGTACATGTGAAGAAGGTTTATCAGTGAATCCTTCTTTCTGTGGGATAAGCATGGGTATGCAAAGACTACATGAGTGAGAACACTTACTTTTAAAATTTTGTGTGGTTTGGGTTTTGTTTGATTGTTTTATTTGGTTTGAGGGTGTTGTTTTTCTTTGCTTTGTTGTTTTGGGGTTTGTTTTTTTGCAAGGAAGACATTCTGGGAGTGATAAAGGCACATAGAGGCTGCTGCTTTCATACCTTTTCTTTTTTCTTACTATCTCTGGATAAGAGTGAGAGTATTGATGTTCTATGTTTTCAGACATATAAGGTTTCAAACAGTGGCAATTGGATGATTTAACTTTTTGGTAGTTTGCTTAGTTTATCTCACTCAGTTTAGAATTCCAGATTGCCATCTATTTTTCTTCTCCAACTGCAATATTGAAAAGTTCAAAGGCATCAGTGTTTAGAATATGCATATGTTTTATAAAGTGGTTGGTTTTGTCTTGGCTTCCTTTGGGAGCTTTTGGATGATTAAGACTTTAATTAGAACTCCTTTGTTTTGTCCGATTGTCTTCACATATAAAAGTTTCAGCTAATTTTTGCCTCAGTCATGCAAATACATATTGTAGATGGGAATGGATTAGTGCACTTCCCAGTAAAACTTGCGTGTATAAAAGTTACTTGTATGAAGAAACCTTGAACTGGGGTTGTGGAAGGTCAAATTCATGTTCAGGGAGACTGTCATATTTAAGGGTCACCTACATGCTTTGCAAAACTTAAAATTAATTAGGAGACGTTAAAGACTGCCTTTAAACTGCATACTCAGTGGGGAGTTAAGTGGACTAAATGTTTATAAGCTATCCAGTGAAGTTAGTGCTGTGCATATTTCAGTTATCATATTTCAGAAGTCAAGTCGTAAACCCTGCTGGAAATAAGGTTTTTTTTTTAAATTTTACATTCTTAAAATCAGCACTGATATATCCTGTTTAAAACTACATTTTTATTTTGAAAAATAGGGAACAATTGAATCACCATTTCTTCAAAATAGTGTATGCCTTTTAGAGAAAGCATTGTGAAGCATAGTCTGTTCTCCCATTGAACGAAGAGATTGAGATTTCAGAATTTCAGTGGAAACCCACAATTTTGAAGAATGATAAATTAGAATAATGAGCATAATAAAATTAGAGGAAATATGGTCTTTGTGTAACTACATCACAGTGTATCTAAGTGTAAAGTGATGAAAATAAAGCGTAATGTGTTGTTAGGATTATTTACACAAAGCATTAAGAGAGAACTTAAAAAGAATGTTCTGTGTTTTGTGTATAGAATAGCACTTGTGTATAGAATAGATTTCTTTTCCTTGTGTTTTGTTGTGGTAGTTCGTTTTTTTTCCTTTTTTCTTCTTTTAAGATCTCATTAAGGGTTAAGAAGAAGGAGTGGTATATTAAAATGAGGGTGATTCTTTGGCTGCTGTGTATTTCATCTCCTAAATAAGACTTGGGCTTTTCTGGAAGCACTCTTACGTGCAACCTCCAGTTTACTGTCTTGGCTCTGTTTCAGTCTTGTTTTACTCTCCTCCCTCGTTGCCCCCCCCCCCCCCAGAAAAAAAAAAAAAAACCAAAAAACCCCAACCTTCTACTATTATGTTTAAAGAAAGACAAAAGACTTAAGATATCAGACATCAGTAATGCTCCTGATGAGTTTCAGGAGCTTTCTGGTATTGCTCAGGGAAATAGTGAGATACCCAGTAGTTGGAGTTGGGAAAGAAGCTATAATTCCTTGGCCTAAAGTATTACCTTTATGTTTACAATGTATACAGTATGTGGTATTTGGAATGTTATTTCCTTAAACGTATTGTAGAATGGAGGATTGTTTTATTTCTTGGTAATCACAATGGGAGTGCCATGGAGTGCAGAGCTTCCAAGCTTGAGTTATGAACTCAAGATATGGAGCATGCTCTCCTATGAAGAATTAGTAAACTAAGATTCTTCAGTTTTGAAAACTTGATTGAGGAAGGATTGATAGTGATCTAAAAATGATGATAGATGTGAGTGTGAGCTGTTTTTGTACAGAAGAACTAGGGTATACCAAGTAAATCTAGGAGAAACCATATGATTCTTCAAGCAGCAGCTGTGGGTATGAAAACCTCTCATAGGAGAATGCTGCAGATGCTAAAAAACCAAAGAGAAGACTGCATGACTTTGTCAGAAAAAATCTGTGGAAGGTTCTGCAAAATATGAGAAACCACATCCAGCTCAGGAAGTCGCTGGATTGAACATGGAAGAATATTAGACAAGAACTTGATGTTTACTTGCCCTCTTCTTACTAGTCCCCAGGCATCTGCTTTTGGCCCCTGTTGAAGGCAGAATATTAGGGTAGAATGACCTAGGTCATGGTCTGACCATGCATGACTGTTCTTACTTTGTTATGCGTCTTCCTCAGCAAATTAATGGATTTCAGAGGGATTCTAGTTAGTAGAGGATTTTCTTTTACATAGTTCACTCTTACATTACTTTTCATCATCTGCATGGTGGAGGGCTTTGTAGCAGTAGCTGTAATAATTGTAAATCACCTATTCTCGTAATCTGATCACAAGCAAAATGAGTTTGATGTTTTTTATTATTTCTGACAATTTGATTTTTATGCAACTTGCTCAGAATGATACTTGACATAAGTGTGTATGTTTGAGAATTGAGGAAATTATGTTGCTTGAAAGAGTATCGAAAAAGGATTTTATTTGAAATTAAAAATAAAGGAAAATATGGTAATTTTGAATTTATTATTTCTACTAGAAAGATGCCTGTCCAGCATAGCTGAGCAATGCCAACATATTTAAAAAGTAGATGAAGAGTCCGCTTTCCATGTCATCTGCTGTGTTCTGCATTATTTCTGCAGAAATCTTGGCAGCAGTCTCAGCAGCTTTCTTCTAAGTAGCAGTAGTTGCAAGAAGAGCAGAAAGGCATTGAAAGACTCTTCTGGAAGATCTGTAATCTGTTCAGAAATCGTACTTAACTGAATAATGAAACAGGCACAGACTGGAAAAAGAAAATGATGTTGCTGACCTGGAGTAACCTATGCTGGTTGAAAAACAGGAGAGTTACAGAGACTACCTTTCTGGAAAGCCCTGGAGTTCGCCTTTCATCTGTGGTCTCAGCATACTTCCATGAGAGCTTCTTTAAATGTTCAGAACCAAGCGGCCTTCTGCATCTGGCCATTTGCCACATCTCATTGCTGCTGTGTAGCAGCTAATCAGTTTGACATGGACAGTACATGTGCATTGCAATTAGGAAGGAAGTGTTGATCTGATTTGTGGTATCTCAAGCATTTGCTTGAGACGTTACCAGCCAATTTGAGAGAATTCCTGAACTACCCTGGGATGATTAGTAGACTCTTACTGATGATAAAAATAGGAGTTTATCACTATGTATATATTTTATTTGAATTTTTAACAGATTTTTCTTCCATGTGTCAAAATCTGCCTCCAAAACCAGAAGTAGGAGTAAAGGATGACAATTTTAATAAAAAACAGTTTATCTTGCATATTAGGAGTATGTCATGTGGGTTGTTCACAGCCAGCCAACCCAAGCCTAGAGTTATGACCTTTTTCAAGACTGTTGCAATTCTTCATGTTATTCCAGCTCTTTTAGAAGTCACAATGCAACAGCAGTGAAAAGTAATTGAAGTTCCATGAGAGAAAGCAAGTTTGGTTGTTAAAGTTGCATTTTGGAATGAGTAGCCTTAAATCATTGTAAACAATAACTTGATCGTGTTTCTACTGCTGGGTTTGGGTGGAAAAATGAGCCAAGGAGTGACAGTTACAATACAGTCTGTTGTACATTGCTTTTTTCAGATTTTTATGAAAACAGGAAGGAGGAGTTTCAGAGAGGAAAGCTCATTGTCTGCGCTTCTATGTCATAGAATGGGTTGGGTTGGAGGGGTCCTTAAAGCCCTTCTAGTTCCAAACCTACTGCCATGGGCAGGGACACTTTGGAAAACTATGGAAATAAGTAATTTTCCCAATTATCTTATGTCCAACTCAAAAAATCTGAAAACCAAGCAACCAAAAAGAAGAGTTGCTTCAGTGCCTGTAATAATTAACTAGCTTTCGCTGTGATCTTAGGACCATAACTTAGGATATATTTTCTTATCAGAATGTTACACAAGGTCTTTCTTTACCTGATGCACTTTTTATTTCTTTATTTATTGATAGATTTGACTGTGGTCTTGTGGAAGCCTTTGTTTCAGCACAAGGGAAGTGATGCCATGGCTCTGTCTCTTTTTACTAAAAGCTTTTTACGGTTGTACTGATCTTTGAGGATCTTTGAGGACCGTGGGCCTGGGTCTCGGTAGAGGCAGCAGTACCTTGTAAATTCCCATTTCTGCAGACCTCAGGGTACTTGCATTTCATTCTGTTCACCTCGTCTAATTTACAGTTCTAGATAATGCTTCAGATTTCCTCATAGTAATTGAAGCAGAAAGTCTGTCTCATTACAGTATGTGGCCTACAGCAGCCCTGAAAAGAGCAGGTGGAAAACGCCCTGTTCTTTAGGATTAGTGCAAGTTTTGGTGGAGTAAAAGAGCAGCTCTTAGTTGAGTTTAAGGAAGTCAAGGTTTCACAGAAAGTGTTGTGGCCTGTGATATATTGTTCCTGAACAAGCTAGCACAGGTACCTGCCATTTCATTCACAACCGTTCCTCTGTTTGTCTGAAATGACGAGTATGACAAAAATGTTGGTGGGCAACTTCTCTTGCAGTGAACCATGTTCAGCTGTGTTCAGTTATAAGGCAACAGAATCTGACATGGAGTTTGCTGGGAGATAACAGTCCCTGATATCATAACTGAAGTATTTTATTTATATGAACTTACAATGACCTGGAACATCACCACCTGTAAAGTGATTAATCCTAATTAGGGTAAAACTTCTTGACTAGAAAAGGTACCTGCAGTTGAGAATGATCAGCAAGTTCTGGTATAAATGGGTTTTGTTTTGCTTATCAACCCAGCATGTAATGTCACCTCTTTTGACGTGACTGCTATGTCTTGAACAAGGAGATTGAGTAGACTTTCTTGCAAATCTCACGTTGACATTCATGTTCTGTAAAAGATGCTGTCTGTATATGGTGATTTGGTGTAGAAGATTAGGATATTGAACTGTTGTATTCTTTGATTTCATATTAGTGTATTCTGGATAGTAGATAGCACAGTGGATCGGCACCTGTTGTTGGAAATGCCGTTCTAGGTCACCACATCTTTCTGACAACAGAAATGGGATCATTAACCTTTGTGGATAGAAACATGATTTACAGAGAAGTGTGGTATGATAAGTGAGAAGGCAGAATTTGCAGAAACTTGTGCCAGAAGTTTTTACAATGAGTTTGGTTTTATTGCTGCTATTGATTGTTTCAAGTCCTGTGGTTCAAATATTGACAAATTATGATTGCTTTTAATGGCAATGGGGCTATGTTTGAACTTCATGTGTCTGAAATCTGATCTTAACGTTTTAAAGGTGGTGATACGTGTGAGTATCTTCTGTCCAGTGGGAGATTTCTTGGAGAAAAAGTATGGCAACCCCACAGTTGTATGATGCATAAGTATAAAAACAGGTAAGAAAACTCATGTCTTCAGGTTTTCTGCTTGGAAAGAAGAGTCACTGTTTGACTGCAGCTGTAGTGATCGCAGTGTCATATATTTTTCTCTTTATAGCTGATTCTCTAGGCTTTGGAAAATGTGCAGCATTTGTCAGAAGGAAGTGTTTTTCCTTGTAGATTACCTCTGTGTCTACAGTGTTTACCATAGTTAGATTTTTATATAAGAATTCAAGTAAATGTTGGTGATATTAGTACTGATACATGTTATGGAGAGCTTGCATAGCTTCATGTGTCACTTTCAGATTGCTGAAAGGAAAAATGCTGATCTTATGTGTAGAATCATGAGTGAAAAAATCCTAAATAAAATCACCATTCACTTTTTTTTCACCTACTAGCAAGAGACTTATTTTTTAGAATTATGCTTTTATTGCCATTTGGAAACTGCTGTGTTTGTAGCACCACAGAATAGAAAAGCTTGCTTTATTTTTTGCCTATTAGCAGGAGAGTTCATTTTCATTTGTATGCAAATTGTGCTAAACTTTTTATTAATTCAGCATGCTTTAAAAAAAAGATTTACCATTCCTTAGAGCTGGGTATAATGCTTAGAATTATCTGTATTGCTCTTTAGATTTTCTAAAGACTTTTTCCTAAAATATAAATTTCCTGTAACATGAATGTTGCTATTTTGTTTTACAGTGAAGCAAAAAATTGCCTCATAGACAAACATGTTGTGTTTATAGGAGATTCTAGAATTCGACAGCTGTTCTATTCATTTATAAAACTCATAAATCCTCAAGTCAAAGAAGAAGGAAATAAGGTGAGGCAATAGTTTCTTTTGATGATGTCTTTGTTTCTGTCTTCCTAAATTACCTCTGAATTAAAAAAAAAGCAAACAGGAAATTATACCATTTGCTGGCCTAGCCATCAGGAAGAAGAACCTCAAAAAAGGCCTTTTGGAGGAGAACAAGATTAGACCAAGGTAATTGTTTGGGTACAAATGATAAGTGAACTAGGAAGCTTGAGTGAAAATTTGTGGCAGTGTGGGAATAAATTAATGAAGCTGACTTGTCCCATAGCAACTTGGGCTTCCTATTTGGCTTCTTGATGAAAAAAAGATTGCTCCTTTGTGTGTTTTTAAGTAGTAGTAATTCGTGGGTTATCATTTGTCATTTTAAATGTCAGTGAATTGCTGATCTAATCTGTTCCTAAAAATCCTTAGGGCAATGACAGATTTCCAGATCTAACTTGAAGCTGAAACTAAAAAAAACTTCTGGTCTTACCTTCCTTTTAATCACTGCTGAAGAGCTGTCTGAGTTTTATAAGGTGAAGAATGTAAGTTTGTTTGGTGGAAGCAGTAAGAAAGGATTTAGCTGTATCATGTGTTGAACAGAAATTGATTTCTGTTGCTGTATCATGCTTAGGCGTATGCCTTCAGGGATCTAAGTACATATGTGAGGGAAAAGACACAGTTCACTTTTAACTGCACATCAGATTTGTCATTTCGTAATTCTGTCATTTAGAAGTGCAAGCTGGTGCCTTCTCCAGCAGACAGCGTGCAGTCACTTACGGTCAAAACAGGATGTTTGACTGACTGAATAATTTCAGTCTTCCTCATCTGTTGGTTAGGTCACAGCTGCTGCCCAAAAGTGATGGTGAGATGATGGAGTGCTATAATGGATTTTGAGTTGAGGCATATCTTTTGTCAGGTATTTAGGAAATCAAGATCTCAGTTTGTGGAAGAGAAATGCACTTGTTCTTTTGGATCAGGACTGAAACTAGTATTGTATTTTAGTAATATTTTAAAGGACAAATATATATGCAGCATCTGACTGCTTCCTTTCTGATTTCTTACAATAACACTCAGCAAATTTAATAATGCATTCCAGACTTTATTTCTGCCTGAAATTTTTTTAATTAAAACTGTGTTGATTGTTTTGTGTAAAGAAGTTGGGCAGCTGAAAAGGAAGGCTAGAGGAAAGGCAGTGTAAGAAAAGAAAGAGAAAAAAAAGTCTTTTTCTCATTTTGGGAGGCTAAGTGTAGATAAATATTTCATGCCTTTTTAACAAAGTGAATAGAAAACCTTTCAGACTTTGTTGGATAGATTTCTTACAGGAAAAGTAACCTTCACTCGAGTACCTTGTTTTATCAAGAAAGTAACATAAATATTTTTCATGAGTATACTGACAAGTTTATACAAGAAAAATCCTTTCTGCTGAGGATAAATAAACCTCCGGGTGAGAGCAATTTAACATACAAATGTAAATATTTTTTTTTTCCGTTCCAAGAGTTTGTCTCACTTTGGTTTTATTGTTTTGGGTTTTTTGACAGCATGGAAATATCCCATTTGAAGATAAATCTGCTTCAATTAAAGTGGTAAGTTTTTATCTAGTGTGAAATTGCAAGTCATCATCATATTATTATTTCATACAATGTATTCCAAGTTACAGTCAGAGCTGGATCTTTCAATTTTCCGCAAGTACTGTAAAAGTCAAAGGAAGCTCTAGACCATCAACACTATAAATTTTCCACAAAATATATCAGAGAGTATCTTAACATATTATGTTTTGAATAAGATGGTTCGAGAGACTTTGGCTTTCAGTACTTCAATTCTGTGTTAGATTTGGGCGTAAGTCCTGGAAGCATTTATAATTTTTCTTTTTGTCAGATATTATAATTTGGCCTTCCCAAGAATAGCTTTTGCCAGGAAGTTTACTCTTCCACTGCTGTAAGAATATGTATCTGGGCCTAACTTAGTTGGAGTGTTAATTGTCGTAACTGCTATTGAGTTCTCTGTGCTATCCCAACAAGTATTCCCTCCACTATTTTTACATGGAGAAATAACCACAATGTTTATTATAATGTGGATATTTTAAAAAAGAAAACAAACAGAGTACTGGAGGGTAGGTTTTATGAAGGATTCTGTTCTCTGCTTGGCAATGAAACCGGTGTCCTCAATAGCTTTCTTTGCTTCCCATGACAGCTGTCAGCTGCGCGGGGATTCTGCTGGTCATGTTTTTGTTTATGCCCTGGAGACAACTCATTCTCTGTTCATGAAAACCAAAGAAGCAGTGTATTTGCTGAGTTGTCTGCAAGTGAGCTTTCAGTACCTGTTTGTGTATGTGGTCAAGATTTAGGGTACAAAATAACATTTTAGGGTGTGAGTTCATTGCAGTTTAGGCCTCTGCTGTCCCACTGCTGCCCTTCAGAGCATGCTTCTGTGTTCGTGATGTGACTAGCCCTGGTACAGGTGTGGAGTCTGCTGTTTTAGGAAGAAATTCAGCCAAAAACTTACCTAATAGGTTTCTTTTTAGGTCAGATGTGTCTCATCGTATGGTTATCTGAATGCTAGAACAGAGAGAGCAGAACACAAACCAGGACAAAGGGGCTGAGGCAGTGTGATTTATGTTGACTTAGGCTGACACATAACTACATCTTCAGAGCTCCTTAAGCCTTGGCAGGTATCTAACCACCAAGATTTGAGTTTGTCAGGCTTGGGCTTTTGGGAGATGTCTGGATAGTTAAGAATATATTCCTAGTCTGCTGCTTCCTTGTTTTGATACTGTATTGCTGTTGACATTATTGGTATGGTAGCTGAATTTTCACAATCCTATTGGCTGTGACCCAGTAATCTAAATGTGGAAAATACTTGACCAGAAAAGCGAAAATCACTGGGAACAAGTGGAGAGTTCAGTTTTGCCTGTCCCTCTAGGTGAAAGTTGGGCACTACTCCTGACGTCTAAAAAATGTCAGCTGATAATTTCTGAAGTGTAAAGTAAATTGTTAGGTTTCCGTTCTGTTCAAAAATTATTATTTCATGCTGTCAATTATAGTAAGTTCTGGAACAAAGAAAACCTGTTAGTAAAAACTGTGCAAAATTGAGCAAAAGGCAAGTTCTAACAAATAAGTTATAGCTGTGAGCTTGATTTTATCCCTGATCATGTTAGAAGTCCAAGGACATCCTGTTTGGCAGAAACTGAAAAATCATTTTCTTGGTGAAATCCCAACTCTTGAACTCTGAATGAAAATTTCTTCTTTTTTCATGGGAGCAAAGCTTTGTGGTTTGTGAGGGTTTTTTGTCATCATCCCATTCCTTGCCTCCCCTCCCCCTGGTTTTTTTTTCCTTTGCTTTCTGTTTTGCGTGCTAGAGGGGGATGTCTGACTTTTCATACTAACTATAAAGGAAATCTGACTAGGCCAAATGATTTTTCCTTCACAGTTGAATTGATAGTAATTAATTTGTTTTTTTGTATTTTTTCAATTGTTCTACTGCTTGTCTTTAAGCTTACAGAGTACACCTGCATTTGTTTGACAGGATTTCCTGTGGTATCCAGAAGTTAATGGCTCTATGAGACAACGTATCAAATCTTGGACTGAGGTTTGTCTTAAAAAACTGTGGTTCAGGAAAATACAGCAACTGTCTGAGGACTACTACCTTCCCATTTTGTTTTTTTTTTTTTACATACACAGCTATAATTACCAGCAGCTGTAGCATATTGCATACATTCAGTCAGTTACATCCCAGAGATGTGAAATTTGACATCGAAATAGTGAAAAGGGGATGTTTACTAGTGTATATGTTTCTGGGCATCTCCTAGTGTCCCAAGATGGCTTCACTTGGCCCCCCAAAACCCCAGATCAAACCAGTAAAACCCTACTTCCTTGGAACAAGTTGATTCATAGAATCATGGAATCAAACCAAGTTGGAAAAGACCTCTAAGATCATCAAGTCCAACCTTTATCTCAGGACCAGATTTCTTCACTTCTACACATTTTCTGTGATGAGATGATGATGCAGTGATGGCATAGGCTGTCATCACACAGGTGTCCTCCTGTTGCTTTTGGAAGAGGAGTGACTTCTGAAAAGCATCATCTCAGACCACCTTGACAAGGGTCTTGCTGTGATTCCCCACCGTTGCTCACCTACAATTTAGGACACACAACAGCATTGCCCTGGTTTCAGATTGAGCTGATTGAGATTCAGCCCTCCCATTAATAGCTGAAAGGATTTTATTCAGATCTGGCATTTCACTGCTTATTTGTCTGTGATGGCTCTGTCTTTATGTGACCAAGCATTTCTGATCCTGGTGGGTCCCTTCCAACTCAAGGTATTCTATGATTTTGTATATTAATTTCAGTGTTCCAAACTGAAGGACAGAGGCAATTTGGAAAGTCAACAATGCCTTAATTTATCTTTCCGTAGTATTTCCTTCAAATTACATACTAGTTATTTTATGTTTCAGTTATGATTCAACTTCTCATGTTATTCAGCATAAAATTATGCGTGTAATTCTGATAACAAGTAATATATTTACAGATTGGCAAGTAAATTTTTCTTGTTTCTTCCTTTGTTGACGTTTAAATAGCCTGGAGCTATTTTATAATGGTCCCTAGTGATTCTTTTGCTACTCTATTGGTCATTCTTGCACAACAGCTTCTATCAAGATAGCTGCACTTATAATTTCATTTTTCTTTTTCTGTGATTACTACAAAAAATGGAGAGCTGCTAAATGCCAAGGCAAAACTCATACTAAGGTGGTCAGTACTGTTGTTTCCTTACACAACTCTGTTTGAGGACATGTTCTGTTTCTTGTCCTAGAATTAACTTTCAGACCTCTGGAGCAACAACTTCAGTCAGTACAACAGCACAAACTGATGTTTGACAATGCTGCAAGATACTGAGAGAAAAAGTACTTCAATAGTATGATCTACAGTTTACTTGACAGTAGGAGATACTGTTTAGATAGCTCTTGAAGTGAATTTATGCTTCTAAATTGATAATGATTGTGAGTGCTTGTTGATCCTTTGCACTTTTGCACATTTTATGTGAAAATTCTAGGGTATCACAAGTTGATGGTCTCTGTCATATGTCTGTAATCTATTCTTTGATAACTGTCAACTGATGGACAATTTGAGTCACAGTTAATTAAGAGATGAGTCTTAATTAACCTGCTGAGTATAGTTTGTGACTATTTTAAACCTAATTTCTTTTTACTTTTTGTGTCTTAGAGTTCTGTGGCAAAACCTCATATAATTGTAGCAGGAGCTGCCACGGTAAGTTACACGTATATGGGGCATTTTAGTAAAGAAGAAAGTCCTATTAGGATGACTTTTAATGCTGTCAAGTTGGTTACATAATAAAGTTTTAAAACTCATTTTATAATAAAAATATACTCTCAGTGAATTTGCTGTTACAAGTAGTTCTAAAATATCAGGTATATTTTATTATAGCTGTGCAATGTACAGTACTTGCTTTTTGGCAGTGATACTGGTTGATAACATTGATTAGCTAATAAAGTAGCATTGTTCATTTAAAAAAGTTAAATGCAAGTACTTGCTTACTAACTGAGAATAATTTTTAATAAACACTTTTCAGTCACAAAATACTGCTTTGGAGCATGGTCCAATCTGGAATGCTCTATTTGAGCATCCATAATTCTTTTAGGCTTATATGGGCTGCAGCATCACCGAAAACAAGGCTGACATGGACTTTAAGAGGTCTCCTAACCCATCAGTGTGACACAAGGCAGGATCAGTTATACTTGTGTTGCACTTGATAAGAGTCAACCAGTTCTTTAAAACTTCCAGGGACAGATCTCAACAGCTCCCCGAAGTCATCTGTTCTAGTACTTGGCTGGTCCTGGGAGTCACGAGTTGAATGACTGCTCATTTGATTTTTGAAAAATCAAATATACATTAAGTTGAATATTATATACTCTGCATTTGAATGGTCTCTTTAAATGTAATTGTCTATAAACAGCTGCTTAGTCCAAAAGAAATATTTAGCACTTTAAAAGTGAATATTAAGAAAAATAATCTAGCTTTATAAAAATAATGAAAAGTAGCTACTAAAGAGCAAAGGAATCAGTTAATTAAGGGTCCTCAGACATACAGGTGCTGAATCTCTTTCTTTATTTCTCCAGTGGTCTATCAAGATTCATAATGGCAGCAATGAAGCCCTCACACAGTATAAAATCAATATCACTTCAATTGCACCTCTTTTGGAAAAACTAGCGAAAACTAGTGATGTTTACTGGGTCTTACAAGGTAAAGTAATGAATTTGTAATAATTTGTACTGTCGTATCTGTTGAATCATTGCCTTGTAGGATATGGGAGACTTAGTCCGTATGGCTTACTTGCAGAGTAAAAAGGGCATTGATTGAAGTCCAGTCTGGCCTTTCTTGTAGCCTTAACTAGCAGGAACCTAACTAGCTGTTCGTAGTGATGGAGATTTAAAACTCACCCAGGAAAATGTTTTGCCTTCTGAACTCTTTAATTCTTTGTTAGCTTACTCTCAGTCTCAATATGGTAGGTCTGTCCTCCCTGTGCTGTGCTCCATACCTGCCTCCTGGGAGTCAAGAACACAGTGCATAAACCAGCTGTATTCTTGTGTTTGTGTTCTATTAAATTTTCAGATTACATAAATAGTAAGAGAGGTTCAGCAAGTGCATTCTCTGTGTGTGTCTGGAATGGACATACTCTTGAGAACAGGGACAATTTAAGTCTCCAGCATGAAACTTGCTTCTGAGCAGTGATGAGTTAAGATTAAGGGCCAGAAATCATGGTTCACAATGCGTTTGTGAAATTTTTATTATGGGCACCAAGGTTACATTCTTCTGCTTTTTTTTCAAGTAAAACCATAATACATCCCTGATTTTGAACAGTGAGCTCGTATATAGAATGTGTTCCTGTTTTATCTGCCATAAAACATAGCATTTTAGGTTATCATAATCTCAGTTAGAATTCTCGCATTTCTTTCAAAACTGTGTTTATTTATATTAGAAGCAATTAGCTGTCAGGTGTGGTCCACCATTCTGTTGATAAAGATGCAGTCCATTTAAGTCATCTCCGAGCTCTTTAATGGAACAAGTAAGAAGAGGTGTCTGTACAGAGAGTTGTCTAGACATTGATTGTCCAAAAACAGGCATGAGGTAGCTGAAGTAAATCACCTTACAGTTCATAGAGTGTGTTTCATCAGAGTGAGAACATCAGCAGCTTTTTGTAGCGACTTACTGATCTCCAGCTGACCTTTTTGATCCAGAACCCTGTATAGTTTTGTGTTAAGCTCTACATGATTTCTGAAGCCTGCAATCAATTAAGTGGTGTTCTGTTTTCTGAAAGGAGAAGCTGGCTTCTTCTGCAGTAACTAATGGGTTTGATAGATTTGTTTCTTTTTTCCATGTGTCTCTTCTGCTGCCTGTCTTCTGTTCTCTTGGTTTTGGAGTCTGCTTTTGCCTTCTCCAAAGACATAAGCAGCTCTGTACTCCAGCATTATATGCTTTTCATGGATTTGGGAAAATTAAACAGGCATTCATGTCTGGCCAAAGCTTTATAATCTATAAGTACATATGCATGAGTAGGGACTGGCAATAAGAACATTTCATCGTAAACAACTCTAGTTACTGTAACAGTCTCTCGTTCTTCGCTGTACATTTAAACAGTTGTGACTATCTAAATGCCTGTGGAACTTGAGCTAAGCAAATGTCTTTGTCAAGTAGAAAGCTAATGTGCTCATTCTTTGTCCTTTCAGATCCTGTTTATGAAGATATGCTGAGCGAAAGTCGGAAAATGATCACTAATGAGAAAATAGATGCTTACAATGAAGCAGCTGTTCATATTCTGAACAGCAGCTCCAGAAATTCCAAAGCTAAAGTTAAAGTGTTCAGTGTATCGAAATTGATAGCACAAGAAACTATCATGAAGTCTACAGATGGTCTGCATCTGCCTGAATCAAGCAGAGATACAGTAAGTGCTTTTATCACCAGTCAACATTGAAAAGTAGTAAAACGAGATTTTAAGTGAATGTTCTGAAATAGCAGACGGTATGAATGGAATGAGAACCGCATTCTTCAGGCAATTTTGTTCAGAATTTCCCGGTAGGTGTGAGGGCAGTCAGTTACAAACAGTGTTAAAAAAACACACAGCAGCAAAGATGTTAGTGTGTAGCTACTTCAAAATAGCTATTAATTGGCTAGATCCTGCATGCAAACTTCATGCCTTCATCTGCATGTATCAGTTAGGGTGAGAATTACTTGTAAAGCAGTACTAAGAAATAAGTCTTAATTTTTCACCTATGTGCTCACGTAATTTTATTCAGTAAGAAGTATAAAAATGATAAGAAAACAATACATACGTTTTCCTGATTGTGTGGACTGCAACTGACTTTATTTCTTATTTTATCTTTAACCTACAAATGTCTGTATGCACACAGCATGTCTGGGCCTTGTCAGTGTGTTCTTGTGAAAGTGTTCTCTCACTGGGTCACTTCTAGTTCCACTCCTTCCCAGATTTCCATTTATTTAAAGTATTGGATGAACTACATACCATTGCACCATAGGTTTCAGTCTCATTGCCATGTTTTAGAGTTTCATTACTGTGCCCCTTTATTGCCCAAGTTTGTGAGCTGTTTTTCATTTGTACTCAGTTTAGCTCTTCATAGCTTTACACCCAGTAGAGAGAACCCTGTTATTGTAAGCATTAGGATTAGATATTCTTGCTTCCCTGAAGAAGCTCAAGGGTTTCATGTTTGGAAGAGGTGTTTTGGCTGCACTGTTGAACGCAACTAGGTGTATGGGGGTACAGTGAAATTTTATGTGTGTAATGATAGGGGAGCATTGCATATGTTTTATGCCAGTGCATGGTCTCGAAGACTTATTACAATGAAAATATTAATGTTTTTTTTAGTGATTAATTGACAAAACTTCTTATTTCTTTGACAGAATGCGATGATTCTGATGAATGTCTACTGCAATAAGATAATGAAGCCCATTGATGGCTCCTGCTGCCAGCCTCAGCCTCCTCTCACTCTGATACAGAAGTTAGCTTTCTGTTTCTTTACTTTGTCCATTATTGGATATTTAATTATCAGTTTAATTCATCGGAATAATTATCGGAAGAGCAAATCATGCACTGATTTGGAAAGTGGAGAGGAGAAGAAACCTGCCGTCGGCACTCCTAATGTTTCTACTTTAGAGATGCTCTTACAGTCCTTCTGCAAACTTGGTCTAATCATGACCTATTTTTATCTATGTGACAGAGCAAATCTTTTCATGAAGGAAAATAAATTTTATACACATTCATCTTTCTTCATACCAATCGTCTATATCTTGGTTTTGGGGGTATTTTATACTGAAAATACTAAAGAGGTAATGATCGTGTTGACATTCGGCTTATAACATTGTTTCCAAGTTTGAGTGTAAATAACTAAATGCTAAATACTGAAAGTTAAATTTTCAAAGTCAGTGTAACTGATCTGCAAAAAAATGCATTCGCAAGCAGTGTAATGGTTGCATGGAATTAGATTCAAAAGCTTTTTGAAAGCAAATGGATATGAGTGCTTTTAGCCATTGTCACTGAGTTAAATTGGGACTGAGGATAGCTCAAATACAAGAGCGTATATATCACATTAAAATCTGATAGACCCGTGTTCGCTAGACGGAAGACTTTTAAGTTGAGAACTATTTACCCATGAAGTGGTTTATTGTTTTGAACTTTCTCTCCTCATTTTGTAGATGTTCCTTGTACTTTTTGGAATAGCAACACTCTTGTTTTGTTTTGCATTAGACTAAAGTGTTAAATAGAGAGCAGACTGATGAATGGAAGGGCTGGATGCAACTTGTTATTTTGATTTATCATATCTCTGGAGCAAGCACTGTAAGTGATTTGAATTTATCTTTTTCTTTTTTAATGGGAGTGCAATTGGTGTATGTTACTTCAAAAGAAAGACAGTGCAAATGTGTATTAAAATTGAATAGGATGAATAACTAATGCTGCTGTTCCTGTAGTTTTTAAAACGCTATCAGCAGGATTTGTTTTTCTTTGTATGTAAGTGTAGATTTCATTGACACAAGCACTTTGTGCATTGTTTGACCAGAGAAAAAGTATACCCTAAATAAGGTAGAATATTATGTTGATTTATTTTTAATTGCTGGCAACACTTCCTTTTTATGTTGTGAACTTGAACCTGCTGAAGGCAAGCTTTCAAAGAGCCCCTCTTAAGTCTATTTTAGCTGGTCATAGAATGTGGAAAGTGTAGAGCAATAAATGAACAAATTCATTTTAACGTTGAAGAGGTTAGGGCACCAACAGAGCTTAGTAAGAAACAGGGAATTGTAGGATAATGTTTCTTTTCTTAGTTAAACCTGATATATTGCAATGTAGAAAAAGCATTAAATAGAGGGGGAAAATGGAAAGCCAAAAGCATTTATGTGGACATTTATAAAAGGTACTCTATTTTTCTTGACAGTTTTTGCCTGTGTACATGCACATTCGAGTTTTGGTTGCTGCATATCTGTTCCAAACAGGTTATGGACACTTCTCATATTTTTGGATAAAAGGGGACTTTGGTGTATACAGAGTTTGTCAGGTAAGAATATCTATTTACTGCTTTTATAAAGAAATTTATTCAGATAGCACAATATCCATAGTGTATTTTTACTCCCTAAATATTTTGATATCAGATTACTTAACCAAGGTTTTCACATTGAAAATGACTTTTGTTTCTATGTAAACTGATCTGTTTAATTGGTAATGTTTATCTCATACTAACATGTAGTGAATAAATGATACTTAAAATGTAAGTATGTAAGCTTTAAAATATCAAGACAAACATTTTCCAGTATATAGCAATGGAGTTTTCATTGCAGTAGCAATATCCAATATATAACAATATATAAGCAGTGATCCAGGCATGCTTCCAAAGACAGTGTGTTGGAGCCTACATTTGTTAATAAAGGAAATGAATATCCATACCATAATGATACTGGAGAAACTAACCTACTTTTGAAGTTTCCTACCCAGTGTGTGCTGTAGCAGTTTAAAATTATTTTCTAAAGAATATATCTTTTATTTCTGTTAAGTATTATATTGTCATGTAACTTGGGTCATCGTGCTCATTAAAAATATGTCTGTAGCCTGATTGTGGTACTGGTAATGGCATTACCCAAGTGTTAGATCTAGCTGGGTAGCTGTGGGAGTGAAAGCACGGAGCCTTTAAACACATCCAGCAACTGGAATACTCAGTCCCCAGCCTGGGGAATAATCGGTTCTGGTTTACCTTGTTTTCAGTGCTCTCTCTACCCAAGTAGGCCAGTATAGAACAGGAGGCCCACTACTACATAATCGGCCTGCACTCTTACATTGCATTGTTGGTATTCCCTGAGATATTTAGCCGTGTTTCAGCTGAAATATAATCAGCATGTGAGATGTAAAATACATAAATATTTTCATACAGTGCTAGAAAAACATGTCCCCCATCTCTCTCAGCTTTGCCTCCCAGCTTATATATCCTATGTCTTCTCTCCTCTGACACTCTCCAGGTTTTATTTCGTCTCAATTTCTTGGTTGTGGTATTGTGCATAGTGATGGACCGACCTTATCAGTTTTACTACTTTGTGCCATTAGTCACTGTCTGGTTTATGATCATTTATGCCACCTTAGCTATATGGCCTCAGATAGTCCAGAAAAAGGCAAATGGTAAGATTATTTTTTTTATTTATTTCTGCTATAAAGCATTTTCATGTTATTACAGTGATAGCCATAGAGAAAATGGTACTGTTGGATCTCAGTCGCTTTGTAACATAGTCAAAATATGCTAATCCAGCTATTCACAGAAATACAGTTTGTCATAGATGAACTATGTGTCAGTTAGAAAATGTAACAGCTGATAAATAAAGTCTGACTCTGGTTACAGTCATATTAGAATACTTTTTAATAGGTTTTGAACATCAGAAATGTGTGTGATAAAAAGTTATAATATTACTGAATGCAAGCTAAAATGATAGGTTACCCTGTCCGTGCTAGCTGACTGTCCGTTGTTGCTGTAATGTACTAATGGGTACGGCATGAGCAGTGAGCGTTTAGGCTTTCCCACTCTGCATCACCAATATGTCTCATCCATCTTGAGCACCAATTCTGCCACATCCTGCCAAATAAGAATGTGGGGTTTGTTATCTTAGATTAAGTGAACTATCAGCAGTATGACTTGTGATATGGGTATTTTGAGTAAAAATCAAAGTGAAATCCTGGCTTATTTTATGCATTGCAGTTCATTGAAAAGCTGTCATCAAGTGGTAAATGCTTATTTAATTCACCTAAATTAGAAATAAAACCTTCAGAGGCTTAGGTCCTCCTTCCGTGTTGGTGGAGTAATACCCAAATTTTATAGTCTGCAGGTGCAACAATAAAATATAACAAATGCATGCTAGGAATAGATGTAAAAATATAATTAGAGAGTAGTTTTGCAAGATACTTCAAAGGCAAATAGCTCTAGTGTTTTGGGTTTTTCCTGCGAAGGCGTTTCTGTTCCAGATACAGACAAATTACTGTTGTGTACTTCAGATTAACAGTGTCTTGCGAAACTAGAAAATCTTTCAGTGACTCCTTTCACTTGTTTATGCCGCAATTTACAGCTGCCAATTTATATGGTGAGAGAGGGAGAGATGATCCCTGTTGCAGTGTTGAGGCTTGATAGAGCTTAATATCAGTCAGTAGCTTTGAGGAGCAGTTTTTCAGGCTTCCTTTCACAAGATACTTGTCCCTAATGACCTGCAGTTGAGCTTTGGAATACAGCTGGTACCTCAGTGTTTAATAATGTATGCTCTACTTATCTCACATTACAAAAGCTGTTGGGCATTTTAGTTTATTTATTTATTTACATTCTCCTGGAAGAAGGACTGCTGTGCAGTGTTTGGGCAAGCATGCTTTAAAATAGTGTTTCTGGTTGAATACCCAAGTTCTCTTCTTTCTGTTTGTATGTTGTCCCTCTTTGAGACACGAGACTTATTTTAGGATTAATAGGTTTTTAATTGCTGTGAATGTTTCATTTAATTGCTTAAAGCAAAATTTAATATGTAAATGAGGTTAGTGCTAAAATATTGCTGGTAATATTTGAACATTGATTATTTAATGTGTCCTAGGGTTTGCCATTGAAAAATTGCTGACCATATACTGATTAATTTATTTCTTCATCAGGAAACTGCTTGTGGCACTTTGGTTTACTGCTGAAACTGATTTGCTTACTGACATGTATATATTTTTTGTCATATTCTCAGGTTTGTAAATTTTTACTACTTTTATCCTTGATAACCTTAGAGTATATTGCCTATCCCTACTCTTTAATGTGCTCATAGCTTGTACATTTGTTCCTGTATCATAAAGATAGAAGGAAAAAAAGGAACCTGTTTCTTTTCATATTTGAATTGGTGCGGATGCTGGAAAAAACACAATTCTGTATCTGTCTTACTCATTTGTAATGCTTGACATTTTTTCAGTATACTGTTACAAACTTAATAAATACAAAGGTCTATGCTTTGGGTTTGGGGTGGGTTGGTTTCTTTTATTTGCTAGCATACGGTGAAACACATGGTGATGCGGTGATATGAAGATCAGTGTCTCTTAGAGACTGGGTTTTGGCTTTAATACCTTATCAAAAGACTGCTTCTCATGCTAAATTAATTTAGTGACTTACTGCATGCCGCAAGTGTAGCTGACAGAAATAAAGACAGAGTTTGTCACTCCGGGATGTTACACGGGGGATTGTGTGGTTTTAATCCCTCTTTTTTTTTTTTAAGCCTGTTGAACTGTAGTCTTTGGTAGAGTATGCATTTGTTATTCCAACACATCAGTCGATCTCTCCCTTTAAGCCTGCAAGCACAAAATGGGAAGACCTTTATAGGAAGCAAAACTGAAAGTCTTTCTCATCTGAAGAAGTATTTCTGGTTCTGTTTGGTTGGGCTTTTTTTCTTTTTTGGGGGGAGTGCCTTCTAAGAAGCCTGTTACTTAGGTAATGTCATCCAGCTAGTGAAACACATAAGTGGTAATACTAAAAGAAAGCGTATTGATTTAAATGTAGTAAATATAGTTGACATCAGTGTTAATGCTTTTGCCCTGTTTATTTTTTACAGGGTGCATTCGAGAAGATATTTTCCTTTTGGCCACTGTCCAAGTGTTTTGAACTGAATGGGAATGTCTATGAATGGTGGTTTAGGTGGAAGTTGGATCGCTATGTATGTAACATTTGTATAAAGTTAGACTGCTGGTTTACGTGTATTTTTTAATCTAGGGGGACAGGGTGGTGAGGGAAAGCAGGAGTTTGTCCCAGCGGGTTGTTTCTGCAAATATCTATCAAAGCCTTGCTTAAAAGAGGGATGTTGATTTATTTGCTGTTGGATCCTGCTTTTAAAAAAGTCATAAAGTGACCTAGATTTGGTTTTTCTCAAAAATTTGACTGCGAAAATGTAACACCTGTAGCACTTCAGGCTATTGGAATACAAGGCAGGTTACCATGGTGGCTTTCCTAATCGTATTTTTTGAAAGTTGTATCAATTAAGGATTTTTTTTTGTTTTTTAAGGTAACCTTCAAAACACTTTTAAAATCAGGGTCTTTATGCTCAAACCAGACTATTCTTGTGCAGTGAAAGATGTCCAGCCCATGGCAGGGGGGTTGGAACTATGTGATCTTTAAGATCCCTACCAAGCCAAACCTTTCTGTGATTCTATGATATTTTAAAATGGTTTTCCAGTGGCAAAGTACTTTCCAGTTACTGACCCTAAAATGTAGGGGGACAGAACAGGGAGACACTGGTCTTCTTTTTTGCCTTCTTGGTAAGGTAAGTGGAGTTCCTAAGATGGGAGCATTTATCTGCTAGGCTTATCCTTACTGGGATTGCTTGCACACTTCTCCCTCTGGCATTCTTCATTTGTGAAGCACACACTATTGTCACGTCCCAGGCTGCTCCCATCAGCAGCGCACGCTGCATTAAGATGTTTCAGCCTTGGAGCTTTGCTGTTGTGAGCAGTGTGTATTCTGTGATGCAGCAGCATCAAGGGGAAGAGGAAGTCTCAAAAAAAAAAATAGTGAAGACAAGCACCACATGGGCCTGAAACAGTGTTGTGTAGCTAGCTAATGAGAACTTGGCGTAAGATCGTAAAACACTCTGAAGAGCTGCGTCTGTGAGACAGGGAAGCACTTGTGCTTCTTGGATGATTTCACCTGCCAGCTTGGGAGAAGGCCAGAGACTGGTGATTTTTCCCCAGAGAAAGCACTTCTCAGTGCTAGCATAGATTGCAGAGGGCATAGTCGGTACTTGAAAGCTTCTTGAAATTTCATTGTCATGTCTTTAATGCTCTGTGAAGCATTAGTAACAGTACTTCTATTTGTAGTTTTTGAGTTAAAAATGCAGATTATGATGACCTATTTTAGAAAGCCAGTTTTTGGTTGCTTCAGTAAATCTGGCAAAGGATCTTTTGAAACCTAAGCTTTGGTATTACAAATAATTTATCCTGTAGCATTTCTGTTTGTACCTGAAGTCCTTGTAAAAGCCGTGAAATATTCACTGCAGTCTGTTTGTCTTTTACAGGTGGTTTTTCATGGGATGCTGTTCGCTTTTATTTATCTGGCATTGCAGAAACGTCAGATGATATCAGAAGGAAAAGGAGATCCTCTTTTCTCCAACAGAGTTTCAAATGTTTTATTATTTATTTCAATTGTATCCTTTTTGGTACGTACCCAGTATAACTGTATGATCAGGTTTGTAAACCTCTAAACAGCAAGTTTTCCAAAGTTCTTCTTTAGAAAATACATTGATTTAAAAAGTCAAATCTTGATCTGTGTTTTTTTGCACAGCCTTACCTATTTCCTCACTGAAATAGTTTTCCTTTCAGTCAACTGTAGATGAAAATGTCATCACTCTTTTCAGTTCATTGCAAAGGTTACAAGAAAATCGGTCCATAAAAGTGATATGGTAGATAATGCAGCTCTTACCTCTGCTCTTGATTGCTTGTCTATTTGTGATAAAAAATTTGTCAACAGTATGCCTTTATCTTAGGGTATGACTAAGTTCAGTATTTGTCACTTGCAAAGAGTAATTTGAGAGAAACACAAAATTATGCACAATGTAATTTTTCTATTGAAATATTTTCTAATATTAATATTTCACTTTTTCCTACTAAGCAAAATGTATTTTTTTTATATTACTGTCTCGCGTATTAGTAAGCCAACTACTTAGTGCTGAAATACTTCAAAATAGCTTACCTCTTGTTTAATTTTTAAATAGTACATAGAATTGCTACACAGACTGAAGTTTGTGTCTTTCAGGCCTACTCTATTTGGGCTAGTAGCTGTAAAAACAAGACAGAGTGCAATGAGCTACACCCTTCTGTTTCTGTGGTGCAGGTAATTAAAATTATGGTCCTTTTCCTTACAGTGGTAGAATCTACTCTGTTACTGTTTGAGCTCTTTTAGAAATTGGTTTTAAGTATATTTTTGTTTTAGTATGGAATGTCAGCTTCATTCAAATGTCTGAAAGTGAAAAAGGGTTTAACTGTGTTGCTTGCTGGTTTTCATTGCCGCAAAGCACTGAAATCGCATACTGTGATTATGCTTTTGATTAACCATGATGTCCTTAGTGTAGCTTTTATAGGCACTGTTTAAGTCCAGACCAAACTTCTGAGTACGTGCATAGCAGTGGAAAAGTAGACAGCTATGGGGAAGAAAAAGTGTTTGTGAGGTATTAGTGTAGGAAGCACCTATGGGACTCTTTAGTCGCTTTCAGGCAGGGAAGAGGTTGGCCACAGAGGCATGAGTGTGGTTTTCTGAAACTTATATTTTCCTCTTACCGTGTCCCCTGCCCCACTATACCACAGCTGTCTGACTATTCCCTCTCTGGTTCCTTTGCTTAGCAGTGTGTCCTGCCCTCTTGAGGGGGCAGCATGTATGACTGAATTTTTTAATATGAATTTGTCCATCTTGACACTCTCTCTTTAAAAACTGAGGGTTAACTCAGATTTGTGACCAACTTAATTTTGGGCTGGCATGGTATGACATGTTTTATGACCATACCTTGTAAGTGTATAGTAATACCTATCAACATCAAGACTGTGATTGTACTGAAGATGTAAATATGATTTGCTATGCTATAAGAATGCATGTGCGGGATTTGCAGTTTCAAGACTGACTTTAAGTATAAACTGCATGGATTTTTGTTTGGTTTATATACTTATCAGATTTTAAAGACAATTTAATGCATGATGTACTTCACTTTACACAGTGAAAAGGAATAAACCTTTTGTGTGTGTGTGTGTAACCTGCTTGTCATCCACAGTCACTTTTTCTTCTTTTAATTCTTTCAAAATAGATTTTAGCTTTCATCCTCATCAGGAACATTCCTGGCTACATCCGATCTGTGTATAGCTCATTCTTTGCCTGGTTTGGCAAAATTTCTCTAGAGGTGAGTAGAACAATCAGAACTACGGTGAATTGAAACTTAGAAGTGTAAGGTGGTTTTATTAATTGTGGTATAACACATAAATAGTGAAAACATTTATTGGCTTATTTAATACCATGCTGCTGTGTTTGACCTCTTTCAGCATTGTAGCTTCTGTCTACATTTAAAAATCATAGCTGAAATATCTCACAGTAGCAAAGCTGTTTCTCACGTTTTTTGTGGGGGGAGTTTACGGTTGTGAGAATGGGGATTTAATGCTGCAGTAAGATGTGGTGTGTATGCAGTTGGTAGATAAAAGTTTAAGCCAGTTGAAGAATCATGATGAATCTGACTAATGCAAGTACACTTACGTGTTTGCCCTAGAAAGCTTTCCTGCATTAATAAACAAATGTAACATTACAAGCAAAACCCTTCTTAGTGCAGATGTTATCTTGTTCCATTGAGTGTTTGAAACAGTAGGAATTACCTTGCTTTCCATTTGATTTGCTGCCTAATAATATTAAACGTTTCATTTTATTGTATTTACTAAAATGCATTTTAAAAAGGGAAACGAACTTACAGGACAAACTCATTGTGGTACTATACTTACGCAGTGCATGACTTTGAATTGTTTTTTAAAGGATGACATTTTCACTGTTGTGATTCCCAGTGAACTTGAAGGTGCTGATCATGACCAACTCTAGGAGCTATTGCATTCATCAGCAGTTGCAGTATTGTCTTCTATTTGCAAGCATATTAGTTCAGTTCCTTGCCACAGACAGAGTAGCTGAGCAGAGTTGTATTCCTCATCTCTCCTGACATAGTGTAGATGATGCTGCCCTGTGCTGTATTATTTGGTTAAGGACTAGGCAAACCCATTTTGCTATGTACTGTGACAGACTAATAGTTTTGTCTTAAGAGCAAAGAAAGGCATGTGGAAAACAGCTTCTCCGAGTATGTTTAATGTGACTTAAGCAGAAGTATAATGTGTCAGTTGATGCAATAGTAATAGTCATGTTTTTATGTAAGAAAACATAAGCACACTCTCTTTTTCTTTCAGCTTTTCATTTGTCAGTACCATATTTGGCTGGCAGCAGACACAAAGGGGATCTTGGTGCTCATTCCTGGATATCCGATGTTTAATGTTCTTGTCAGCACTTTCATATTTGTGTGTGTGGCACATGAAATTTCTCAGATCACCAATGATCTGGCACAGATTGTGGTTCCTAAAGACAACTCAACTCTGCTGAAAAGGTTGCTGTGTGTAGCTGGATTTTTCTCTGGACTACACCTCTTCTCAGCAATGCAAGATCAGTCAAGACATTGACTTGAAAAGATTCTTGGAAACTTTCTTCAGGTTTATTTTGTGTCTGCCTGAACAAAAATTCTCAACTGGAGACACAAGAAGACATTTAAATTGTGTGGAAAATAAATGTATATAGTGCAAATGTACATATTTTGTGTGGAAACAGCCTTCTCAAACAATCTGAGAGCCAAGAATGCACTGTACAGAATTGCATGTGAAAATGAGTCTTTTCTACTGGATATATGTTCCTGTTTACATACATGTTTAAACGTGACATGAAGAAGTGAAGTTAAATGGTTGAGCACTACCGTGGGCATATCATGGAATTACCTTTAACATGGGTCAGCCGAACAAAGAGTGGATGTTACTGGAGAACCGCCCTCACGTGACACATGCCGGAATCATTCTCATCAAGGAATAAAGAAGAGCAAAGGTGTGATGCTTCAGTAACGGTCACCTTTAGCTGATGTGAAACATGAAGTTACTGGTAAACCAGGGCATTTTTCTGAACAAATGGTAATGTAGAAATGAGTATCTTGGGTGGAGATAGTGTATGTTATGTGAAACCCTTTATACGCAGGAATAAAAAGTCATCACCAATTCAGCAATTTAAGATTGTATACAAGTTTACATAACAGTTTATGGGGTTTTCTTTTTGTTTTTTTTTAAATTTGAGATGTTTTCAGCAAATATGGTGAATTCTGAGGTGATTTTTTTTTCCCTAAAATTGTTTGCTTTTTCATACATTTTCCACTAACTCCTGTAACTCTGTGCAGTTCTTTGTAAAATCTCAGTGAACAAACAGATTAATAATTTTCAGAGACTCAGTTCAAGATGGAGAATTTTTTCCAACCGTTTCTGGTCAGAGGGAATGCCGTCGTAACCACTCCATCAGATCTGAAGGGAGAACAGGGGAATGGTGATCTTTGAACCTCTGAGTTGTGGGTGACCTTGAACTAGGTCTCATTGGGGAACTGGTGCCATATTTTATCCTGTAATAATACTTTAACTTTCAGGAATGCAAGTCAGCCTATTGATATCACGAGGAAGAGGGACTGTGGTCATCTTGTTGCGTGCAGATGGCTGAGTCTCTGAATTACAAATGAAATGAGATTGGAGCTACTTGGAGGAACCTTTTCCCCCACCCATTTTAAGAGTGCCCATCTTTCTTACAAACTCTTTGCTTTAGCATAAAAACTAAAACTGAAAGAATGGCCCTTCAGTGTGGCAGTGACAAGCTGCAATTTATGTTCCACTTAGTGAAGTTATGGTCATTTCTTTAGTGTTTGTGGTTTTGGTTCATGTCACAGCTTGACCTCTGGTTGCTTTTTCATTTTATTCTTCTACTGATCACTTACTATCAGTCAAAAACGCAAACACAGTATTATTTTCTAAGCATTTGTGCAATTACATATGATTATAAACAATATGAATCCTAATTTGTACCATACATACTATCATAGAATAGGTTTGGGTTGGAAAGGATCACCTAGTTCCTTCCACTAGACCAGGTTGCTCCAAGCCCTGTCCAGCCTGGCCTTGAACACTGCCAGGGACAGGGCAGCCACAGCTTCTCTGGGCAACCTGTACCAATGTCTCACCATGTCACGTACATGGCTTTGATCTTATCCCAGTTTAAAAACTGAATTCAAACTTGCAGCCACCAATGTGTGTGAAAGAAAAAAAAAAAAAAGTGAAAAGAATGGCTTCAGATTTTTTGGTTGGGAACAGTTTCTTTTAAAGATTGACCAGCTCATCATAAAAAAAGAAATCATTCACTTCCCTCAAATTCAGCAGTTTTACTGCAAGCTATTCTGAAGCTATGGGAAAGAGACTCAGCTATTTGTTCTTCGCATGTGTAACTTCCAACACTTGGAAAGTCAACCTACTTAACTGGCTGCAAGAAACGGTGCTGGCAAACGCTGCAGTGGGGGCAGGATGCATAACCTCCATCTATGCCAGTATTAGGAGCAACGGGGAAACTGTGAGTTTGAGAGAGACTTTCTGTTTTGTTCTTCACAACTTAAGTATTGTAGATATAATTTTATTTAACTTTTGTACAGACTTGGTTAAAAGATTTATTTTTAATGTTTGCAATAATGCACTTGTTTACTATTACTGTATGTGGGGTAAATATATTTTCTTTTCAGGTCATGTAAAAATATGAAGTAATTTAAACATTAAATAAACGTGCTGTGGATGCTTATTTTTGTAATGGGAGCAGCATCAATTAAGTATAAACTCTTTATTGCTTGACTCCAGCTGGGCTACAGTTCACTGTCCTGCCTGCCTTAAATTACAGGTTAGTACTGTGGTTTCCCCAGAGTGGTATTCTGGATTCAGTTACTTCAACTGAAGGGCAGATATTTGCTTGCATCACAAATTATTTCAGATAACACAGTGCAGGAAGAAAGCTTCTCCTGCAGTAAATCACAGCGTCCCGGGTCTGATGAAATTCCAGCTCCAGTAGCCAAAACCACCCCTGGAGCTCAGGGGACAGCAGCAGAATTCTGGAGTGGAGGGGTCAGGTACTTTCTTGTATTGGGTTACAAGCTGGAAGCTGCTGCAGAGCTCTGCATGAAAGCAGAGGAATGGACTTGGCTTTTCTTCAGTCTGGCAATGTAAAGAAACCCATTCTATGATTCTATAATCCTTAAGATTTATCTTAAAAAATGTATCTTTTAATTTAGCTACTTGAGTCCCACACGACATAGAAGAAGGGGCTCCTTAAGCAAAGGATACAGCTCCTTTTATGATCAGGAAAATAACAACTAACATGGGCACCTGAGCCAAGAGGTGCAAATATTCTCCCTGCTTCCAACATCTCCCCAGTTGGCTCCACCTCAACTCTTGGACACTTACCACCACTGTCACTGTCCAGACTTTTAACAACTGTGCCACAAAGCTGTTCAGGCATCATCATGTAAAATAACGAGGCGGCAACAAGATCACTACTTCATTTTTTTCTATTTATTAGATTTTACATTTCATATATTTACAAAGACATCTGTAGTGCTTTCTATTTGATTTGGTTGCAACCATCACTTCATCAACACAATATCAGTTTCAAACAGTCATCGTACATCATTAAAAGAGGATGGGAATGTACTGTTTTAACTATCACCACTTTCACCTGTTACTAATTCTTTAACCATTACATGTCTTTAGCCAGCTTTATAAATCTATGCTTCCATAGTAATTGTTTTAAAATGAAAAAATAAATATTTTATTAAACTTGCCTCAAATAAATGAACCTTTCAATCATGAAATAGTTCAGGTGTGCTTAATACTCAAGTCACCTACACCAGGAGATTCTTTTCAGAACAGGTGGAGCACCCCCCCGGCACACACTGATTCCTCATACATGTACATAACAGCTTCAGAAATTTCCATAGGTATATTGGCACTGTTACATATTAATACAGGTAAGAGGGGAGCAGCTCAACTGGTAGATAATTGATTGTCATAGTCCTCAAGTTATCAGAAATTGTTATGATCTAGACCCAATACTATTTACAAAGTTTCATCTTACACTGCATTAAAAATCATTATTTAAAATCCATTCCATTCATTTCTGTTTGAAAGCACTGACAGCTCATGGTTTGAAAACAGTCATAGAAACTAATCGAACCAAGGGAAAAAAACAAATATTTATTGGACTCGGATTCCTCACAGCAGGGATAAAAGTTGTACATTAGTAATTTCTATATACCGCAGTGTGCAGGTCCCCAGTTCACTTTTCACTGATCCAAGCTGCTGGAAAAAGGAGGGCTTAGGAGGCTGGCTGCCTGATGAAACCCCTTCCCTGGTCCCTTTTGGATGAGGTAGGTGGGCATGATGCATGCTGCTTTGGAGGCAAGTAGGAATGGCTCTTTGTTCCGACTGTTTCAATAACTACCTTGGCTTTCAACTTCTGCAGCTGTAGCTGAGCTACCTCTTCTAGCATAACCACCAGCATTATGCCTGTGGCTAGGGGCATTTGTTAACACATTCTATAGGTCATGCTTCGCATTTAGGGCAGCCTTGTAAATTCTTGACGTTTAAGGCTTGACAATATACAAGTGCCTAAAATGTATGGGGTGCTGACTGTACACCTTACTGCAACAGTCATACTCATTGCATAAAATGTGTCTAAAAAAGCAGCTCATGACTTGTTTTAACTATCCACTGAGATGTTGCATTCAGGTCTAAGCCTATTAACACACCATTGTTTGCTTAAAAAGTGACGTGAAGTTTTGTGCTTTGAATAAACAGGGTCATAACCATAAAACATTAAAGAAAAAAAAAACCTACTTTGTAAAAAGACCAAACTCTTATCTTATTTTCCAGTTTCTTTTTAGTCTCAGTCTTAAATTCCTGTGTTACTCCCAATTTATCTTAGCAGAGACCTCAGAAACCTCAGCTAAGGCGATGCAGCCAGCATTTAGCAATTAGCAGATGCAGCTTTTTGCTTACATGGCAATGTCCTGATAAACATAAAGCTGCTGAAAGAGAAAACACTGCAGAGAAAAGGCAAAGTGTGTCAGCTCAAACCAGTACAGTGCTGCAAGTTCAAAGTGCAAGAGCTGTTGGTGTGAGCTGGAGACCCTGAAGTCCTGTGCTACGCTGTATTTGAGGATTTAAAGAAGCATCAGAAAAATACACTTAAAATACACAGAAAAGCGTCAGGAGATAAATTATCACCAGCTACTGAAAAATGAGGCAACCTCAGTTCAGATCCTTTTAACAAAGTTGGGATTATTAAGCTTTTGGCTGCACAAACACCTCTCAAAATCAGCGCCTCTGGAAAGGTGTGTGTTCAATCAATTCCTTTTTAAGATGCTAAAAAATAACCCCTGGTTTATTCGATCACTCATTCTCCCACAACTCTGCTCCAGAAAGAACAAAGAATGTGGAAGATGATATAAAAAATAAACTGCACTGGGGCATCAGCAACATCACACACACAAAAATGTAAAGGGTATGTTTAAAGAGTTGAAAGTCCGTAACAAAAGTTTCTCTTGCTTATCTGCAGTCACTAATTTCTGCCTACAGTAGTTTTCAACAGTCTTGTCTAACATAACCAGATGAATGAATGGACAGATTTTAAATGTTTTATTGCTTTCAAATAGAGTAAAGATCTGGTAAAGGAACAGAAATCCAATTTTCAACAGGAGTAGTTTTAGGGTTTGGTTTGGGGGTTTTTGTTAGGGTTTTTTTTTTCCTTCCAAAAATAACTTTGCTCATTAAATTTTGATAATCTCTAAAAAACTAAAGCCTACTAAATCTGGAATCCTATTCTGAGCCTCAGGATAACGCACAAGTTTTCATGCTTACACACAAGTGCTTTTTGTGTGCAAACGTAAGGCAGTTGTATCATCCCATCCAACAGAATCTGCAAGCAACCCTTCAAACCTGGTGCTTATTTCGAAGCTTTGCTTTCCCTGTTAAATCTTTCAGGGGAGCTCACAAGACAGAATAAAGTCTGATATTTATTAATACATATATTTGAAAGATTCTTTTCTGAATGTAACAAATATAAAAAGTTATCAGTGTTTACAAATTGTCAAAAACGTCCAAAGTACAAAAGGATACAGTACATTAGTTGTGTGGAAGTGATTGTACTCTCTGGCACTGAAATCATCTCAATACTGTGGGCATGCACAATGTACACCAGAAAAACTCATGCATCAATCAGAACAAATAAGGAAGTAAGACAATTTGCTGCCTTCTCCAATTACAAATTCATTGCTTCTGTCAGTTTTCTTTCCTCAGGAATACCATTTACCTGCAAGTAGATAAGATCTTTATGTAATCCATTAGTAGCAGATGATGCTTCAACAATACTGAACTGCTAACTGGTCACACAGTACATAAACAGTATTTATTAGTCCCTTATCAACAACCACATTGGAGAAACACAAATACAACCTGGACCAAAAGACAGCACAGACATGAAAAAGCTTTGCTTGCACTCTTCTGGGAAGGGAGAGAGCTGGGAAAAATGTTTAGCTTGGAATTTTTCTATTTGGCATCTAACGGACTTCACAATGGACTGTGTAGCTCCAAATGGAAAACGCAGTGCAGTGTACATGCACTCTTTAGTCTTCTGCATTGTAGGAATATGCTATGAACTTTTTCATTTAATTCCCTTAAAATAGTCCTCATTAATTTTGCCAATCAGCAGAAAGACAATTATAAAACTTAATGTACCTGTTCATACTGGAGACCAGCAGCGATATTCAGCAGTGCAACAGAAACATTAGGTGTGAGTCATTATCTTTCATACAATAATTTCCAATTTGGTTTTAACTTTGTGAGATCATGTCAGCTATTAAGTCTACAGTGAAGGTGAAAAAAAAGTGTTTCTTATCGGGGATTCAGATAGTTCCTGAAGATGACAGGCGTTATTAGAGATGGTTTGCTCTTCAAATGACTAAATATGGTCTACTGAAGCTTTAAGATAGAAATACCTTCTTATTCATAATGGTGACTATTAGTATGTTAATAATCCCGAGTATATTATTGGGAATTTTCTGTAAGAAAGGAAGAAAATTAAACAATGAACATCTAGTTCATTAGGGTTTTTTTGGCCTGAAGTGTTTCAGTTTTGTAAGTTTCTTACTTGAACAGATCAGTAAAACTGATTGCTATGTTTGTACTGATGCTACTGAAAAAAAAAACCCAAACAACTCAGGAGCACCTGAATTTTGTTTTAAATCCTAACTTTCTAAAACTCTAACTTGCTGACACACTAGTCATAGATACCCTTTAGAAGACAAACTGCCAGCGGAACACGCCATCATGGCATGGAAGTGCTCATTTGCACCTGAGTTACAAAGGAAGGTATCATTGTGAACTAAAAGGAGGAAACATTGTCTGTCCCAAATACATTCCCCATCTGCCCCAATTTCTGAGAGCTTGTCACAGGCAGCAGCTGTGATGAATGTAAAAGAACAGGTGCATTCTACCAAAAATGACATACTAGAGAAAATACAGACACAGCAGGGGTTTGAAGACCTATTTTCACAACAGTTCTTCAGTGCGAATTGCAAGCAATAACCCCATGCTAGCTTGTACTTCGCACCCCCTAAAACATCTCACTGCTATAAACAGCACTACCTGGTGATTTCGCACCTTTCCCACTGCAAGACAGAATGGACAACTGTGCGACATTCTTATTCTGCCTTCTAAATGCCTGCAGTAGTGAGTGTTATGAGCTGTGCTAAATGTCAACCCAAACCAGCGCTGGAGGCTTTAACTGCCAGCATCATCCACTATTTCCAGCACATGTAATAATAAAGCATACAAATAGCAAAGCTAGCAAAACTGCAGTCAGGTTTTGTTGTTATAAATGTGTTTCTAATTTCCAGATAACCACAAAATAAACCCCACGTGGGCAGACGCATCTATTATATACTTGCCTCAAATCTTTGAAATGTTGTCATACGAAATTCTCCTTTAATCCCCGAAAGCAGTAATGAAGAAGAAGGATTTTGAATGAAAAGAAAGAGTTGTTTATGTAACTCCTAAGTTAAAACAAGCCTTCCTCTTGGAGCTGTAGTTCCTGTATTATACTCAGTATGTATATATTGCTCAAGTTCTGCCTAAATACCTCTTTCAATACTCAAAACTTAAACTTTGGCCTCTATATTTTCCTTGTATGATCCTTATCCCCTTTTACATGGCTTTGGCTTTGTTTTTTCTCATACCTGATAAACCAGCTACAAAGAGCAACCAGCACCTAGTCAATACACTGATAGGGCCATCCACAATCTCAGTCATCAGGATTTGGGAAAATGCTGTAAAAGCGATGACTAAGACAGGGAAACCTCCAGCATGGATATATGCCTCACCACAGGTTCCCCAGTGTCGACTCTTTATGCTTAATAACAGAAATAAAGAGCTCCTTCTTCAGAGCTTAACTAGTATTGGCAAGGATTAGAATTTTTGACTTCCTATCAAGTTGTAGAGAATCTGAGCAGTGTAACTGCATTTAGGAACCTGGTTGTAGCTTTTGTTTTAATAGAAAATTATTTATAAGAGGAGGTTTTTGAGTTAAGTGTATTATATTCCAGGGTCTCATGCTGAGCCCTAATGTACCATTTCCCCTACTTGTTCCATCAATCACATCCCAAAATTTTTCCTGATGTATCAAAAAAAAAAAAAAAATTGGAATGACAATGCTGTTACACTTTACTGTATTTGAAAATGGTTTCCATTGTCAATATACTGTATGCATTTGTGATTCTTTCATACCAGACACTTAATAGGTACAGTATTTTCTCAGTACTGACCTGCACTCTGCTGCTGTGGAATCTGAGTCTGATGAGGCAGGTTCCTACAAAAAAACAATTGAATATCTTTAATGCTTCCGCACAAAGTCTGAAGTATATTATACATGGAAGTTTAGTACTTAAAAATCATTTATTTGTTTATGAAGCAATAACCCGTTTTCACTATGTAAAGAGAGCTGTCAAAAGGCCAGCCAAGTCAATGCCAGAGAAAGAATTAGTGTTATGGTGTAGTTCCTATTATTCCACTTGACAACTAGGTTCAAAGGCCCAGACTTGGTGAAACAGAGGTAACGAGTCACTGCAGGTTTCTGACGTTATGCAAAGTTTGTTTTCTGTGATGGTTACAGAAAAGGTGAGAGCATTTGCAACTCAATTACTACCTGTGGAATGAATGGTCAGCTAGTCTTACACACTGGACCACTTCACTCATCAAGGCAAAGTTACGTTTTTGTGTCCTGCTGAAGTGTCTATTTTAACAGCTACCAGATGTTAACGTTGTTTGCACAGAAAGGAATCAGGGGTAGGAATGTGGGTAAAGCAGATAAATACTTTACTCAAGAAAGCCTTTGGAACCCTGGTCATAAAAAATTGCCATTCTGAATAGAGAGGAAACTGTAAAAGACAAGGTAGAGCACTTCACAGCAGTGGTACAAAGGATCATTTGCACAGCTGTACTTCCCGTAGCATTTAGCTTTGGGACAGGGAGAAGAAAATACTCTTCTGGCACACACCAGTATCACGAACAGAATTCAAGGCAAGCACGCGTAAACTAGCACTAAGTTAGTGCTGGCACTGGGCAAGTATCACTGAGGCTGTGCAGGCCTGCCAGCTGAGGACCTACCAACTGGAGCTGGTGCCATAGCACAGCACTGAAAAGCAACGCCGACTACATCTGAGACCATTGCCTCACATCTGCTCAACCCAGACACCAAACATTTCCTTTCCAAACCAAACCTATCCAGAAATGCCTTTTTTCTTTTTTTTCTTTTTTTACAGCACCACCAGCCTGTCTGGATTAGAGCACATGCAGAGCTCTAGGTGGGTCTGTGTCAATAGTTCTCTTCAGTTGCTGATAAATGGACTTCAAGGAATTGAAATTTCTGGTGTTTCTGGTTTCTGTCTTGAAGAAAGGCTGGCAACAATGGAAACAGCCGAGAGCTCTGAGCGTTTTCACTGGCAAGTCTGCATTTATTATCTGTGTAATGGAATATGCTCTTCTGTTCAATGCTAACATCGCAAACATAAACCCTGGGTGACAGGTACATGACTAACTACTTACAAAGTCCGGATCTATTTTCAGGTATGAAACTACCACCGACCCAGCGGTAGTTTTATACCAGGACTCCAGAGACATGGGTTAAGAAGCAGAATGTCTAAAATAAAACAGTTTTAATTGATTCCTCTGTCAAAAGTCGGTTTCCTCCAAAATATGCAGAAATGTAACTGTTCCACGCAAAGCTGCTTGCCAAGTCTGCAGACTGAAACCCAGCTGTTTAATTTTATAACAGAAGGCCTTTCTTTCTGCTTGAAATGCAAGTATCAGTGTAATCTTGAACTACAGAGTCATTACTGATACTTCCATAATAAACAGATTTCAGATGACAAGCACTGGAATCCATATTTAAATCATGGAACATAGTATTAAGGAATAAAATAACCCTAAATACTTACTGCTGTGTCTGCATCAGTGGCATACTGGTGTTATCGTAGCTATCTGTGTGAAGGGGGGGTACAATCTCACCAGTAACTGGGTGGAACACTGGGAGTGTGGAAAGAGGCCATGCTATCTCTCTATTTTTAGACATGTCACGAAGCTCTTTGGTTGATTTCTGTATAGCACTGTGGTGGACCAACTGGATGCTACGTCAAAAGGAAATAAAACATTAAATACATATTGTAAGTGCTCTATCAAAACGGACAGACTTTTATAATTATTATTTTTCTTAAAAATACAAGGACTTTGATGCACGCTACAGACTCTCGAGTGCAGCAATTACAGTAAACCATTACACAGCTAATTTAATCAATATTGGATTTATTTAATTTTTAAAGCAGTAATTATTCCATTAGATTTTGCTGTCTGGATAAGTATTTTTTATAGAATCCAAGACTATGCAATTTATGGCTAATATTTCATTTATTGGCTGCAGTTAAAATAAAAGTTTTGGTTAACTCCTGATTATAGTGGTAGATTCGTAACTCATATAGATTAGTTTTAAAACGCTTCATAGTATAGGCACTGGATACCTTCCAGGCTATTTGTCCTCCTGTCCACTGCCATTAAGATATAGGCTAGGAAGTCCAACGACCAGAAGTATAAATTACATATTACCATATTTATTCTAACAGCACTGTTTACTTTTGAATTGACAGTTAATTTCAAACCCTTTTTATTCTGGTCTTCTACCCTTGCCAAGACTCTGATTTAAAAGCAGCTTTCACATTTATGAATTAAACCATGGATTAGAGAGAATGGAAGAAGATTATGACACACATGTATGAAGCATGACAAGCTACTGAGAATGGAAATTAAATGGTAAAAGAAAAATAACAGGAAAGAAGACACTTACTCTGGTGTTTGCATGTTTCTCTTTTCCCTAAAAACAAAACAAAATTTATGAATTAAATAATAGCATTGATAGTTGGAACATTAAATCTGTCTGATGATGAAAACAGTACGTGATGTAGAAATGCTGACAAGGTTATTGCTAAATGCAACTTGGCAGCATTTGCAGCTGTGTTTATGGTGAGGCCTTGATGAACGCACATAGAGAGATGTGATACTGGTGACAGAGACAGACACACACACACAGACATATACACAGAGAAATGAAAATGCAAGTTAAAGAACAAGCTTCTGGCTAAAATAAATTCTGTGACAAAATGAAATTGTAGTTTGTGTAAGAAATGGCAGAAATTACGTTACTTGCTGCTTTCCTTTTATGTGTTTTTCTTTTAGAATATGTCTAAGTTCATTTCCTCAACCAAATCTATTTTATAGAAGTTAGCATTTTAGAAATTACTTAATATTGTCCTGAACCAGCGATCCTTTATTAGTATTTTATTTGTCTGGGGCATTTTGGAGAGTTGTGCACAATTTTGTGGAGTTTTGTGTGTATGTTGAGATTTTTAACCCTTTCAACTGAACAACTAAAGTCCCTATATCCACTCTCGTGGAAATTACTCTTTGTGTTTAGATGAGGAATAGTTCAATATTTCAGGCAGGTATGTCTTGGCCTGTTTTAAATGTTTTTAATGAACTGAATGGAATTCTTCTAACAAACTTCTGTGAATTATAATCTTAGAAAAATCCATAATTACTTATTAGTCTGTTAAAGTACTCACACTCCTTCCCGTCGGCAGCACATGATATAGGCCAGTATTAGGAAAAGCACAAGTGCTATTGCTGAGGGCACTGCCAGTGTAATTAGGAAATCTGAGTAATAGTCTCTGCTTTTCAGTGTATCAGAAGGTGGCTTGTATTCTCCACCATCAGGCAATATCCCTTCTCCACGAATCACTTCCTGAAAGGTGGAAACTTGCTTTGTATTGTCAACCTGATAACCAGGAGAAAAAAAAAAAAAACAAAAAGGAAGGAAAAAAAAATGCGATTATGTAACAAAGTAAGAGAAGGTAAAATGAGACAGTATTTAACCAACCACTCAATAGAAAAGAATCTGTATTACACACTGGACAAGTGCTATGCAATTTCATCCAACAATTTCTTTTTAAACAATAAAAGCTTACGTTTTGCTGAAAGCTTCTCACCAATGCAGTAACACTCTACTATTACTACTTTATTTTTTGCCTACCAAATACACTGGTTTTAAACATTAACTACAAATAGTACTTGAGTAAAAATTCAGTAAACATTTTTACTGGAAACTGATTATTTGATTAACAGATTTCTTTTTGATTACTTCATCCATTCTGACTAGTCTTCCTTAATAACAATACTGCCCTCTTTTGTATGAAGGTGGTAGAGATGAAGAGTGGAGTACCTACGATTTTCTTCCTCCTTCTTCCCTCACATTGCTCAAAAGAAGCAAGAGGCCTGAACCGAGTGCTGAGGACTGAGCAGCTCCATTGCCTCACTCAACCACCTGATGCAGGAAGCACCACAACAGGAGAGCCAGAGTTCCAAGGTTTTTCTACCTCCTAATTCAACTAACTTCCAGAGGAAGCTGCATTTGGGGTCACAAGTAATTTTTAACTTATTTTGTATGTCGAATGTTCCTAGAAATACAACCCTTTTCTTTGCTACTGAATTTCCCATATTTAGGCATTTAATTTACTCCCTTTCATACATGACTTTTCAATTTTCTACCTTTATTTTCTTGATATCTTCATGTCATCATGACATGGCACCTAAACAAGTAACAAGTTCAAGAAGGATGGGTTACAGGCTGCTGCAGAAAACGATGCTTCTCTGAGACCGTGTTTCTATGGCTGTTTCTCCAATTTCTGAGGACCTTTCTGAATTCTGTCCTGTCCTTCAATGCACCTGCAAATCCTTGAAGTTTCATGTGGGCTACAAATTTAGTACGTGCATTCCGTCTAATAAGTGCATTCCATACTAATGAAGAACGGCAAGGAATTCTTAGTAATTCTACTATGATTACTGCTATGCAACCAGCTCTCCACTAGATCCTAGCATGAAGCTAGGCCATGTTCCTGAGTTTGCTTATGAGACAGTATCAAAGAAACTCATCAAAAAGAAATTACATCTGCTGCTGCACCTTTGTCCTACTTCTCTCTTGTAGAAGGAAATCAAAGGCTTGACAAAGTTTGTTCTTGACAAAGACTTCTATTACTTTTCAGGTGCTGGAAAGTACTGCTGAGTATACAGGTACCTTTTGCAATTTCTCAACAGAAAACCAGTAAACAGTAAAAAAATTGATTTTTTTTTTTAAACAAGTGTTTTCCAACTTTCTATCAGCTTTCCTATTTAAAAGTTAATAGAAAGAAAGGGCTGGAAGTTATCTAACTGATTTTATGTATAAATACTTTTTCTCATACTCAGTATGTTTTTTCAGTTGTACAAAAGCCTCCCTTTCAGGTTCCTCTTGGGTAAGGTCTGAAGCAGCTCAACACTCAACTAAGCCTACTTTATGTACTTTCCCCATTTTTGCTGAAACTTATCTGCAATGCTCTCTTCCACTACTGTAAAATTTCTTGGTCTTCCTCACCAGAACTAAAGGAAAATAACGTTAAAAAGCCTCTCTGGGTATTATACTCCTTCCATAGCAAACAGTCTAGTGTTCCGTCATCATTTTTCTTGTATTTGACCCAGAAGGATGTCACCATTTAATATGATTTCATTAGTCAACAGTATTTTCTTTCCTTTTCCTACTTCATTTTTAACATTAAATATGTTTTAGACAATTTTCGGAGAGATTTTTTTTTAACAGCATAGAAAAATTATTGAAGTGGTCAGTGCTGTGGACTCAGTATTTGAAAAAACAATATATATATATGCATATAGACACACACTTTTTAGCAATGCAAGAGTAACTAGCAGTATGAGCACACTGAATTAATGAACTACACCTACCTAAATGATTCTCTTATTACTTTTACTTCTGTAAACTCTAGAGTTCTCTGGCCATTTATATAAACCACTGTTAGTGAAATCTAATATGGCAGTTGCATTGGTGCTCAAGTCTAATAGAATTTCGCCTACATAGCAGAATCCTTTCACTATCTTAAGAGTGTCTGCTAGATGGAAAATAATGTCAATCAGTCATAATAAAGAATAATTTGGCAGGGTTGTCTGGCCAGGCTGGCAAAACTCTCACCTTAATTATAGCTAGCATAAAATACTGCACTCCTACAAATATCATTTTGATGCAATAATCAAATAACTCACCAGAGAGATTTTACACCAGTCAATATGGAATTGAGTACGAAATTTTTTATCACAGGTTATTACAGGCTCCATTTCTTGACTGCATCTCAGCTGATTTTGCGGGTTTTCCACTTCTCGTAAGCATGAGGAGAATGGAACATCTGCCCCAACCATAACATACACACTGCAGAGAGAGATGAAAGGAGAGGCTGGCAGGATACCTCTCACAACTCCCCAAAGGACTTGTTAATTGTTAGAAATCACAACTGGAAATAGTGCATTCTTGCAATTTACACTCAGTGACTGAAACTCCCCCAATACTTCAGCTTATCACTTTCAGATGAAAGTCCACAGTGCTCCTGAAACACATAACTAAATTTCACTAGGTAAGAGCACAACTACAAATGACACCGTTACATGTTAAATGCTTTTAGAAATCTCTCTTTGTAATCTATGCTCTATCACACCTTTGTTTTGAAAAGCATGCCAAACAACTGCTCAGAAATAAGACCAGAATTGGAAACAAGCATATTTACTACCAACTGTTTTATAATTAATGAGATTTATTAATATTCCTTGGATTGTAAAATCAATATATAAGAACTGTTGAAATGGTATCTAACACAATAAACCCATGATATAACAGGGGCTCAGAGCATCAGTAAACTTCGCATATCTAATCCTGAAGCATAAAACAGTAATTGCAAGGTTCCTAGAAAACCTAAAAGAAATATTAAGCTTTTCAGTAAGAAAAAACAAACAAACAAACAAAAAAGAAAAACAAAAAAAAAAAGAAAAAAAAAGAAGAGTAAAGCAAAAGCATTAGACTGACACATGTGCTTACCCCTCTTTCATGTCATTAATAGGAAGTGGAACTCTCCCTCCTCTGTCGAGGGCTGAAGTAATGTTTATAGCATTCAAACGTTCTGGCTGCCATACATTTTTCACTGCTCCAAGAAAGTCACCAAGAACTTCACTTGCTAACATTTCTTCTACATTCATATTCCGTATGAAGAACTCCGCTTGATACGGTAAAGGAAAATCTATTTGTGATGAAAAAGGAAGAGTTTTGCCTTAAACAAAGGCTCCGTAACAAAGAATGTGAAATCATGATTGACATAATACCATCTTAAAATTGATCAACCTTTCCAAAAATCTTCGATTTGAACTAACTCATTTTGATGTGATTACACTTAATTAAACACTACCATTAGCTATTACATAAGCTGAAAACCACTGGTTACTTATAAAACACCTGTGAGATGAAGGAACAGGCTAGAGGAGGAGTCTCAGCTGGCAAATCTTTATTAAACAGGTAAAATTACTATTTTTAATAAAATGACTATCATTACTCATGCTAATTTGGGGGGCAGAATTGATCTGCAGCAACAATGGATTCCAACCTGCAATGCTCCAGACTGTAAATATATAAACATGCTGAAAAGGGGAGAATCAAATTAATAAAAAAAAAAAAAGGCAAACAGACTTTAATACTGACTGAGGAATAACAGTCCTACATGACAGAAAAAATCTGGATAAAAGGAATAAATTGAATCAAAACGGGGAAAACCCTTTACTCCCCTTTTGTGCCCTGCATTTGGCTTGAACACAAGACTACTATTTCACAGGATTTTTTATCTTAAAAGAACATGAGCCCATGAGATGGGTTGACTTACTCAGTTCAAAACACAATAAGCTGTTTTCTGTACATACCTTCTGCTGACATTATATTAATGATCAAATTATGTCTTGCTGTCTCAAAGGTACGTCTGTTATATGCAGTGATCTAGAGTGAAAAACATAACAATTGCAAAACAACAATGCAAATATGAAAATCAGGTAAATGAAACATCAATGAAAATTACATTGATAATTTAGAAATACCACCTTTTGAATACTTTGCCTCCTTATACTGAAATGTATGAGCATTCATTCATTAATATAGAATTTGAAAGGTAAAATCAATTTATTTGATGCAGTACTACCTTCAAGTCAGGATACTGGAATTTTCTCAATCAGTCTATAGCCAAATACAGTTATGCAAGGCATAAATGTGAAGATAATGTATTTTGATAAGTGTTCTGATATACACATGTATTCTTTCTTTTCTGCTATCTTTAAAAGCAACCATAAACAGCAATGTTGGAACTAGATGATCTTACAGTCCTTTCCAACCCTAACTATTCTATGATTTCCCTGAAACGTAGTAAACCCTTCATAAAACAAATTGAAAGAGACTTAACTTTCTGCCTTATTTTAGGCTCTAGTTCATTCATTTCAAGGACAAAGGAGAGGCAGAGAAGTGGCCACAGTGACAGAACTACATTGTTTCTCCACAAACAGAGCTACAAAGCATTGTGACATTGATTATTAAACAAAAATAGATGTTGTGCTTCTTTTAAGAGATTTAAATGAAAAGGAAAAATGCCCTGGAATATCTTCTGCAGATTCATTTTAAGTGTAGAAAGAAAAGCTTACCTGACACAATCACATCTTATATAATGTAACATTTTTATTATAAAACTAATAGAAAATAAATTCTGAAAATTATTTTAAAATAATTTTTTCCAATCTTGGATTCTATTAATTTTTCAAAAGGTTGTTTCAACAGAAGTTTAAACATTAATACTTAGAAAACCTAACTCTGGTTGCACAAGTTGCCACTTGGCAGCTGCACTCCAACAGTTGCCACTGTGGGCCATGCACCTGTACGTAGTGACAGTGGTGGAGACTGAATGAATATTCAGTAGAGGCAGACACAAACCATCTTTGTGCAGCTCTCAAAAAAGCCTGTGCTCGAGAACGTTACCTGCTATACTGCGGTGCTACACATCATCTCAGGCTTTCCTAATTATGAGGCTTCCTCCAATTAACTGACCTACCCATAACATCACCTTAGGAATTACAGTACAATCAAAGTTATATTCAGGCTAGGAATATGCAACCATTCCTATAAGGAAGCGGATCAAATGCAATCTGCCCTCCTCACATACTATACAATTAATTCAAAAAATTCAAAAGCCACATCCAAGAGGGGGACCACAAAGAATTAATTTATATGCTAGGCAAAATTTAGTTCAAATGTAGACTTTGGGTCATGCTTGGAATGGAGTTCTAAAGATCTTAGAATCTCAAAGCACATGCCATTTAAAAAAGGGCAATTTTAAATAACGGTTTTCTCTAAGCAGAGTCTGCAAGTACTTCTGCACATGATTAATTATACAGATGTGATTAGCCCCGCTGAAATCAAAACTGAATCATGTGTATAAAATTAAGCATAGGTGACATTATCTACAGTATAACTCAACATTTAGAGATGTCATTCTTGAGGAAGAAAAAAATATCTCAAATGCCATTTAGGAAAAAATCCAACACACTCATGAAGGGTTTAAGAGAAATGTACTGCTGAAGCAGCAAAATGGCTAAAGAAAGTTAATGAGCAGGTTTCTCCTTAACACTGTGAACCACACAGTGTCTGATTCATCTGCTATGACATACATGGCAGAAAATGCAGTCCTTTAATCCTTGCAACTGCTACTAAATTAATAATTAGTGCTTTTAAATATATGGACAGCTAATTGTAAAAAATAAAGTAGCAGGTTTTGTTATTGTTGCGATTTTAAGAAGAGTAGTATATACATGTAAATGCTAATTAAAAATTAATTCAGTAAACATGAATAATGAACCAGGGAATGTTCGATTAAAAAATAATTTAACAAAAGAACAAACAAACACCTGCTTATTGACTGAACACTTTATTTTCCACTGGGGAAAAGTCTGAATGATATTTAGGGTAGAATGTTACAAAGTTCAGAATTCTATTACTCTTCAAGCACAGTGGTTTACAAAGCTTTTTGCCCTGTATTTTGTATAAAACTTTAATATATTCATAATTTACTGAAATGAAATGCCTCTTAGAAAGATGAAGGGCAAGAATCAAGGGTAGATTTAGATTAGATATAAGGAAGAAGTTCTTTACTGTGAGGGTGGTGAACAACAGGTTGCCCAGAGAAGCTGTGTCTGCCCCATCCTTGGCAGCACTCAAGGCCAGGTTGGTCGGGTTTTGAACAACCTGGTCTAGTGGAAGGTGCCGCTGCCCATAGCAGGAGGCTGCAACCAGGTGCTCTTTAAAGGCCCTTCCTACCCAAACCATTCTATGAATCAAAAGGTATTGCATTTACAAATATTAAGCTTAACTGGTTATTGCTATTTACTAGTTATACCTTAAAACATGAAATGTCACGCAAATTGGCTTCCTCTCAATAATGGTACCTATTGGTACCTACCAATAATGGTATTTAAAAGAAAATGTTAACGTCACAAGTCCCTGCCCTTTTTCTTTTTTTCAATTATTGTAATTAACATCAAAAATAAGAGGCAACACTTGTTGACAGTTCTGAACCTTACACTCTAAACCAAAATACATCTTTATGAAATTTTGAAAGAAAATACCTCAATGATGGTTGGTTTGCCCACATTTTCTACAGTTGGTGAGCCATACAGCACTCCATCACTGTATGGTGTCCTTTGTATATAGCGTAGCCATCCAGGTCTGTCAGGGTAACCCATTAAATTGGTATTAAATGTTATAGGATCATTACTTATTTCACCTAGATAAGAAAAGGTGTATTAGAATATTTAATAGAAAATGCAATATGCTTTGATTTTGATGTTTCCACTAGAAAATCTTATCCTATGTTTTCTAAACCTTTCCAAAACGAAAAAAGAAAAAAAAATAAAAGAAAATTACTAACATTTACCATGTCAGAAATTTGTGAACTCCTACTCAGCACTTGTAAGTAGTAAGAAATTCATATCTGAAAAGTACAATCAACTGCAGAGATGAATGTACTGGTACTTCATAGAATCCTGGCTAACTGAATGCTCATGTTCATCAGCTAGTAGGTCTGATTTTCAGAGTTCAGTTCTCACCTAGAATTGAAGCATCTAACCTTCTTACTGACAAAAGCACAAAGCTCTCAGTACTTTAATTGCCCAAACTTTCTTTTATGTTTTTGATGATGGCTCCAGGGACCAAACGTACCTGGGAGGGCTTAATGTAAAAAGTAGTTGTGTAATCATCAGTGCCCAAAAGCTTCTGTTAGCATCAGGACATACACACAGGTCTTCAGCACTAACAGCCTGGCAGCATTTTTTCTTTAAAGAAGAAATAAATTCAAAAAAGGACCTGCAAAATGGATCCACTGATGGCTACTAAATACAATGGTCCAGATGCAACCTGTAAAAGCCCCTCAGATCAAACTAGTACAACAGGTCTTGTGGTTCTTAACGATACTCTTACAAATGTCTGGCCATGTCTTCAGTTTATTTTAGCTTTTGGAAGTGAAGTCAAACACGCCTAAGCACTACCAGATCCTCACCACTGAGGCATAAGCACTGTCCAGCTGAGGCACAGAATTCAGCAAATCCATTCTGAGCCTGCGCAGTGCAAGGGCCTGTGCTCCTCCAACTTAGCTTAGAAACGGCAACAGCAACCATCATAGGCCAACTGACAAGAGGAGGTAACAGGCAGGCTGGCACAGAAGGCAGAAACTGAGCCCAATGAAGAAAGGAATGTCTTGTCACCTCTAGACAGGAGCAAAGAGACTAAGACCTGTTGCCAAAGGGTAACTAGTTTTCAGGTATATATTTACACATTGGGCTGTGGGTAAGAGGGACCAGAACCACACCAAAACATCACCAGGGTGCCATGCAACTTCCCTTGCAGTTCTGCTGGGACATCCCAGTAACTTGACCTATTTCATTCGTAATTAAAATTTCCAGCAGTACAAATGATTTGGGGAAAACTGTGAAAACTGCCTGGGACATATTCTGGTTAACCCTTCACCAAGGCAGGCCACGCTAATGATCCAGCACAGCCGACAAAAAAAAAAGAACCATGGTAACATTTGGCCTTACAGTGAATTTCTGATATGATCACCTTCTTCTATGGGCACGGCAAATTCAGCAGTATCTGAAATCAGATTCATACGGCCTTTGAATCACACGGATGTTGAGACAGGCTGGGGCTCTAAAGATTCAAAAGACAATCCATCAGTAAAACTTCCAGATTCCTGACATATACGTGACAAAACTGCGAGAAAACTGGGACAGAGGCAAACTTCAATCTGACAGCTGCTGTTACATGAACTGAAGACTCCAGAATAAGTGTCAGGAAAAACTTCCAGTTTTCAAGGAGATTAGATTTTTAAAACATTTGGGTTTATCCATAACAAAATTTAACCAATGCTAACAGAAGCTTTTTTTTTCTTTAAAGTTGAGTTTTGAAAATAGTACTCTCAAATAAATTTAAAAGCTTATTAAAGAATTTCAATTTTATTATTCCTTTTCATTGTTGATAAGCATATGAGGCAGAATGCTGTTCCCACCCCCCAGATTGCTTATACATATTCTAACCTGCCAATGATCAATCTTTTAGCTTTACCTTAGTATACATTAAAACACCATACCTAGGAGATCACACTGCTTACTAACATTAAACTGTTCCTAAATATAAGAAGGCAGCTGAATCCAAAGATGCATTTGTTTTAAATGAAAGAAAACATCACTGCATAATCTCGTACTTGATTTAATCTTCCATTTTGTCTCAAATTTACTATACACTTGCAAAGTGCTGCTTCCTATAGCCTGATACACACTAAGTCTCAAATAGTGATCAAATAAATAACATTTTTTTAAGAGACATAATTATTAAACTTTCACAATTTCATATATAATGCAAAACTGAAGGAAAGGTATACTTCCTAATCTTAGATATATAATGCGTTATTCGGCCTTCCCAAATTAAGTACATTTTTCACTATACACATTACATGCATTTTTCACAAATGACAATCACAAACCAGAACATTTTAAACTTGTAGGACCAAATACTTTCATTTTAATGTATTTCAATAGAAACTAAAAACTGTTTTTTTGAACAATATATGCTGAACCATAAGGTATGCTAAATAGATTTGAAATTTTTAAAACTTAACCCCCAAACCCACTACATTTTTATATAATATGGAAGATCTTAGCATCCCATACCAGGCTTTGGGTAAGGAGGAAATTCCCCCTTAAAGTACTCTCTCTCCAAAACATGAACAAAAAGAACTCCAGCAGAAGGGTATACATTCCGATCAGAGTGCACCTTAGACAGAATCGTGTACACTGAAAAGCAGAAGGAAAGATAAGAGACAGAAAAAAGCAAAAATGAGACATGCTCGAGATAATACAGCATGCATTTCAACAGCAATGTGGGTATCTGGGAGAAGGAAAGCAACAAATATTAGACACCTGTTAATAAGGCTTTTAAAAGGTTGCATAGATTTAAGAACAGAACGCAGAGCAAGCCCTCTCTTTGCCAACAAGACTACAATAAACAAAATTGGCTATGTTAGGATTTCAGAAGTTTTTATTTTTATGGCAAATAAAAAAAAAACACCAATGAAAGCTACTGTAATGTCATAGTTGGTTTATTTGTAATATTACATGAATAAAAATACATTAAGTGAAAGATACAGTCGTGTTTTCTTGATATTTTACACAAAAATAAGGAACAGGAGGAATGCAAGGAACCTCACCAATCAATGCTACCGATTCCTCACTGAACAGAAATGGCAGATTTTTCAATTCCTGTGCAGTGAAAGACAACGCAATTTACTTCAGTTGAGGATTTCTAGTTCTTAAAGCTAGACTTTCTTAGCCCAGCACATTCAGGTAACATGCATCTAAGAATCTGGTTAGAAAGGTCATTACTGAAGACGCTGTGCTTGTATTGTAGGATAAAACAGAAGGACATGGGTAATTATAGGCCAGCCAGGTGTCACTGATGCCAAACAAAAAAATGAAGCCACATTTTACAAGACTCAGAATTAAAAAACTCAAAGCAAATCTAATTTGGAACAACCAGCATATGTAAAAGCAATATACTGTTCTTTATGTAGGTACAAATTTAGTTCGTAAAGGCAAATCTTATTTAGCTATAACACATTTGACAAGTACTATATACACATCTAATGAATTAGAAGAATTAAAGAAAAAATCATTAGGATGTATTAAATGGATAGGAAACTACTTTATCAACAAGTTTTGAATTTTAAATGTAAATGGAGAATACTGATCTAATAGGTATTTCTCATCATGTCTTAACAGGACTGATTATAGGCGATATTACTATTCCATATTCCTATTGCATTTTAAGCTAATGCCCTGAAAGAATCAATCACTGCTGATAAATTTTGTCAATGAGATGAGGATTACACAAGCAGTAAATAAAGAGACACACAGCTACCTGCCTTGCTTGCTAAACTGAAAGAAACCTGATGATAAATCGTATCTCCAAAGATTATAGGCCATAAAATACAGGGGTACTGTCACAGAGAAGAGCAACTCCAAGAAAGACCTCAGAGTCATAAGAAACTCACAGGAACAAACTCTTGCCCCCTAGAAGATAAAAGGGCTAATTTCAATAAGCAAGATACATTTGAAATGTGGATCAATCTCATCCAATCCTGGTGTAATTTCTCCAGCCTTATTATACCAACCTCCATATTCAAGATCCACTTAAAAAGCCACTGCTAATTAGGCATTAATCACAGACATTCCATCCCTCGAACCACGCACTCTGTGTGGAATCTATCTCACCTAATTTTAGATGCCTACAGAAACAACATCCACTGCTGAGTTAGTCAGGCTCCTTTTATAGTCAGTGGAGAAGAAACAGACACTTCAAGGGCTTGATTAATTTAATTTCTCCTGTAAATGAGATGAGTCATATCCTAGATTCCTGACTACACTGACTAGATCTCCACTGACTGCAGAGGCAGCTGAGAGGAGATGCAGACATCTGTAATGTAGACATCCACATTTAGTTACATACTTCCCAGTCTTCAAGCCTAGTACTGCAGAATTAATAATCTCAAATTCTGAATATATTATTGATCAGATTCTACAGCAGTTGCTTTTTCCCACTTTTGGAAACTGCTTTTAACACAGTACTGAACAGAATATATTTCTAATAATTTTACCTTAAAGACAAAAATTAAAATGGATCCTGAAATTTACATAGTTTATTACAATATCATGTGGTTAATAAAACAGTTACTCTAATTTTAGTTATGTAGACTTAAGTACCGTAACATAAGTACTAGATTTGTATAATTAAAATGAGTTAATTGATGACCAAAATAACTTTTGTACTCACTTCTGTGAATAATCTGTAAATAGAGCATGGAAACTAATTAATTTCCTTTAAAATATTTTCACGCAAAGCTAAAAATGTAATTTATAACAGCTCAAAGTGGAAAAGCTGACAAAAAAAAACCATGGTGGCTGGCTGAAAATGTGTCACAAATCTAGAAAAATCCATTTTTCCATTTCTAATGCTTTGACTCTACGATGAAAATCTATTTCAAACAGGAAGAATGGTGGAAAAAAGTAATGTATATTTTCTCCATAAGCAATAGTTTTAGAAAGGAGGGAAAATAAGAATCAGCAGTTACCAAAGAAAAAAAAAGTAACACATTTCTTTTGTCTGTTTAGAGGAACTACTGCCACTACTAAATGCCTATTCCTAGTAATGAGATGTTCCATTGCTGAAATAAACATATAAATAAGGATTTAATGTAGATAGAAAACAGCTATCTTGGTGAAAGTCTAAAAATGCCTCTCAGAAGGAAAAACCCCACAAACCTATTTTATCTTATAATGACAAACACATTGTAATGACACCAGCTGTGAGATTAAGAACTCAAAAGTTCTTGCCCCCCTTGTCAGAGAAGCCCTCTTCTTTTTTCCCTACAAAGTTACTTCAAAGTCAGAAGGAAAATGACGAGTCTTCAGCCCACTACAGTAATCACTGCTTTTCAATAACGAAGTGAGTGAAATGCTATTTTCCTCAAAAGCTTTTAAACCCCTCAATTATTTTCATAGCACTGCCTGAGACTGGAGATGAATGTGTAACCATCTTAGGTGATCTGGGGATGAAAATGAATATACTTACCAACTTCTAGATACTAATACAGCAGACTGCCAGATGTGAATTGCCTGGCCAAATTCCCTGTGGTACATGAAATTCTTGGGAACTGTGAAAGGCTTCTGTAAAACTAAACGTGGTAAATTAAAAATCTTCACCATATAAGATCACAACAGATCCCTGCTAGGGAAAAAAATTAAAAAAAAAAAAACCAAAAAAAACTAGTTACCAGCAACTTGACAGCACTTTCTTCTTTCTTGTTTCCAGATCACTTGGAGGACTTCCTGTAGATCATAAGATATATTGATGCAGAAAGACTGAAGTTCCAGAGACTGGGAAAGAGGTACATTAATTGGCAACTGAAGGCTGGAAAACACACATCACTCTTTTTGACACATGTACAGAAACTGTCCCAGTTGTTCTTCTTGTAGGTCTTGAACACTGGCAGAGCCAGGAATTCAGCTAAGACTATATCAGCCTCCAGCCCAGAACCTGTTATCAGATACAGGTGATCCCAGTTTTCAGAAATTTCAGAAGATTTGCCATGTTAGCTGAAGCCTGTATATTGATGATCTTCAGAAAAAAAATCCACCTGGAAATTTTTTCTTGTCATTTCAATGGGCTCTCTCCCCACTGAGTTTTAGCAGATGAAGCACAATCCCAGAAATAACTTCATTTGGGGGCCAATCCAGATGGCCTGCCTGGATGGCCAATCAGTGCAAAGCCTTTTCTCAGCTACTGTAACTAGCTACAATATTCTATGTGTACTTGCAGAAATGACAGTAAAATAGTCTTTTTACATAAATACATTAAAAGTGTTTTTTTTATGGTTACAGACAAGTTATTGTATTATGCAAACTGCAGAGATATCTCCAAGCAACCAGCCACGATGAGAAAATGTGCAATATTAGGTATACACACAGCCAGTATTTCAAGCAAAGTTACAGGAACAGGAAAAGCTGGGGAAGGCTCACAAAGACACGCAGGCCTGTGAATGTTTAAAAGACTGAAGAAATGTAAAAATTCCCAAATTACTTACCTTGAACTAACACCAATCTATTCCTAAAACAAGGACATGACTGAAAAAGCAAGAGTAATATTAAAAGCAGATTTGACTGAACCAACATGGGATTTAAATTTGCAACCTAAACTCACCATTCTTCTCAACAGCCTTTATTCTGCTGATAATATAACTGTGGGCTTGCTTAGTCGTCCAGTTAACTGTTCCGCTATTGCCATCAGCACAGCTTAACAAAAACGCTTTTCAGAATAAAACAAATGCAAAAACAAATTAGTCAGATCAACAGACTCCCACAAAGAAAATATCAGATGGGATCAGATGCCTTCTAAACCAGGGTTTGGTTTAAGTCAGAGTTTAGAACCTCAGATTAAAAAAAAATGGTAGTGCTTGATTTGTATATACAAACATATAATAATCTTCCTGACAGTCAGCTTTTTGACACTTACTTTTCCAAATAAGCCAAGTTCACTTGAAATGCTTAAACCTCTGCAGACACTTCTGCTGACATAATTATACTGATACTAAAGATGATGAAAAGCATTCTCTGATAAATATATTTGCACTGGCAAAAATCTCTTATACAGCCAAAGAGATAGCTAAAGTTACTTTCACTGGCACAGTATATTTTGGCCAAAATAGGGAAAGTAATATAACCAAGAGCACCATTTTGCTTATATAAAGATACTTTGTTCATCTAAAGACACATGGGACGAATTGCCTTGCAGGCATAACCAATTACCAATTTTGAAAAACGAACCAGTTAAAAATGTTTGTCTTCAACCCACACAGCCAGAACTCAGCCTGAAAACAGCTGAAGGGCAGGTGAAGGTGCAAGAAGGTTTAAACATGGTGAGGAACAAATGATTACAGGAGAAAGAAAGCAGCTGTGGAGCTGACAGAATGACTCCATTTCACCAGTAGCAAAATTCCTTACTTCCCACTTTTTGTTCTTTTGTTCCCTTTCCTCTGTGATGACTTTGTATATATATTAGCTGTTTGTATAGTTACATGCCAACTGAAAGTACAGAGGGGAGCAACTGCAGTCAGATGCTGGGAAAAGGAAAGTAGCCATAATAAATAGCCTTTCTTCTGAAATAGTTTGGGAGTGAGAACTCATGCCAAACCCCAGTTAAAAGATGTTATCAGTAGCATCTTAACTTCCTTGTAAAAATATAAACACTGAAACGTCAAATAGCAGTACTTGCCTACAAATACACCAGTTTGCAGGAAGAAATAAATACTTACTAGAAACACTCAAAGTATGCAAATATTGCTTATATTAGAAGTTTAAACATCTGTGGAAACTTCTGCTGACATAGCTGCACCAGTCAGATACTACATTACCGATACTGCCTTCTCTGAACAGAATTTAGGAAGCCCAACAGATCTGGCTGAAGCAATAGCCAAGATACACAAATAATCTATGCATGAGTAAGCCATTTATAAATGGTAATATACACAAAAAAATATAAAATTGAATTGAGGATGAAATGTAATTAAAAAATTGTGTTCAAATTACCATACCAACACCATAATGTTTCTAAATTAAGAATATTTGTTAAGTTTCTTTACATTTTCAATACACACAAAGGATATGATATGACAAAAAGTTCTATTCACATCCACTGGTTTATGTCTGCCTTGTAAGATGGACAACTTTCTCCCTGATTAATTGATCTGCATACATTGCAAGTCTTAATATCATAACATCCTACGGATCATCCAACTCAGTACTACCTGTGACCATTAGTGTAAATTTTCTGTAATTCTTGGAAGACTCAAGAAATTCAAAAAAAGGTAAAATAAAGTTGTTCCAATATTCCAATAGAATGAGCTGGGCAATCAGAAGGTTGTCAGCTACAAACCAGCATCAAACAAAACAATTAGTACAAAAGTTGATTACTGAATTAAATGGAGAAGAGTATTACCACAGTCAATAAGGATTTAATACATGTTTTCAGACACTTCTGACAAGCCCACAATTTTTTCTAATGAAGATAGCAGCATTTTACCTTTAGATATACAGTGCATCACTTGCACTGAGAAAGATACAAAATCATTCTAGCATATTTAAATGGAATTTTAAAAAAGAAAAAAAAAAGTTCCAAAATATATTTTTTAATATAAATGATCAGTGTTTTTGATTTGGGTTCACAAGTTGTACTAGGTTTACCTGTGGGGATTAAAGAGGTTACCTGTCCACCTCTACCCTACACTGCATTTCACAGGGGAACTGCAAAAGCAAACAGTATGCTTGTTTTCATATCCTAGAGTTTACAGTGTAATGTTTTCATATAAATATATACCACCATATATTTAATTTCAAATAACATGTGTGAAATAAAACAATCCAGAAGCACACTGCCCATTGACTTGCAATCTCAAGCAAGAAAACAGGAATACTGGATAGTTAATTTGTTGTAGGAGATTTCTAATGGGCCTCACAAGGTTCTAGCAATGACCTTATTCAATCGAACACATATATGTATGTGTATATGTATATATATATATAATTACCTGGATGTATAATATATACTGATAAAATTTGCAGGTAAAAACAAAAGCTAGGATATTGATAAATAATGAAATGACATGCTGCTAACATAGAACAGTCTGCACTGTTTGGTAAAAAGGTGATCAGTGATATGAACTTCAATAGAATAAAATGTAGTCGCATACCCAGCAACAAAGGCAGCGTGCCATATGCACACTACAGAGCATTCACCTCAGGGATGCTAGACTTTGATAAAAAACTAGGGACATACATCAGGTAATAACTGGTTGAACAGAAGCTTTCAGCAGAAGATGGGTTAGAATGGCTGATATGCAAACAGCAACATCAAGGAGGAGCAGGGAGATTTTATTTTTGTGCTTGACACAGATATGATCAGTGTTCAAATGCTGTCTAGTACTTACAATGAGGCTTCAAAAAGCACAGTGACATGAAGAAAGCTCAGGGAAGATCTGTGAATATGATTAAAGAATAACGAAAAAGGCCTTATACTACAGAATACAGGGAACCAAACTATGCATTTTATCAAAGCGACAGTTTAGAATTCATTTGATCAGCCTTGTTCTCATGCTGAAAAAAATGTGAATAGTGTCAGGCTCCTCAGCTTGTTACACATGTAACTGCAGTTACTGAAGCACCCACCACTGCTTATAACAAGAGCAACTCACAGCTCTGTGCCAGGGACTTGAAGGTGCCCAGGTGAAGTGCAGCTACAGTGTTGCTGGTTGTTTGGTTTTTATTTATTTCATTATATTTTTCTTTAATTAATAGATTTATTTTCCTAGAAATTTTTGTTCAATATTTTTCTTTAATTATATTTGTATTATAACTATACATCATATTTACATCATTTAATATTATTTCTCCCTTTCTTTAATTGTATAGCACAGGTTTTGTGTAAGAAGATTTTAAGCATTAATATTTAACAAAATATTTAACAGAGAAGATACCCACAACAATTTCTGCCACCTCACAATCAAAAAAAGGACCCACAGATTATGGACCAACTTCACCTTCCCCATTCCTTTATTGCCCTCTAACATCCATATACCATCCTGCACCTTTTATCTATCCTCCTAACAGCTTCTTTGAAGTAGGATCTCAAGCTTGTCTCTCCCACTACTAATGCAGCACACAGCTCCAGCTCCCAAAACCCAGTATTTCCCTTCTCTTTCACACCTATACCTTCACCTGGGACCCGACCTAAACACATGCTTGATACTTTTAAGCCACAGACCAGGACCTTGGGCCATTCTTCCACTACCCCCTACTCTCTTAATGTACAACCCTGCTCCAAAAAAATACCCTTGCACTCCTCTGCCACATATCCCATCTGGCTCAGAGTCCTTCCTGCATCCTGAGCTGGAAACACAGATTTCTGATGGGCTACTGAGAACTGCAGAGCAGAACTATTACAAACTGATGCCACCAAGTTGAAACAAAACATCTGTCAATGTGCATTCAAAACAAATGAAACAAATGAAAATAAAGCCATCTGCATCAATGTGCTAGCCCACAGCTGAAATCAGAGCTTGCACTCACTCTTGTTACTGAGGATCCACTAACTGATGTCAGCACTGAGATACCTGCCCCACTGGTCACTAGAGGAGGCAGAAACTGTACCTACTCTCCCTCCTTTTCCAACCTCCATACCCCTTCCTCTTACCTAATACCTAATAAGCAACCATAACTGTAGAAATTTACTATGAATTAAAGTGGATTCTCGCAGTGGAAATTCACATAAAGATTAGGTATTTTCTAACAGATTAAATCCTCTTCAGTGATAGCTACTACATAAGAAATAATTTGTGTTAGTTCTCCATTGTGGATTGCTGAGGTTCCTCTGCACTCCATTTATTATAACCACCTAAAAGTTCAAACCAAATCAAGAAATGTTTCTATGCTCTATACTTACTCATATTTGTTCAGTAGGTAATGTTTTTCTACTTGTTTCTGTGCTCCCCATTGATTATTGTAACATCTGAATATTTCTCTGAGTTCATTTAAGACAAGTAACTGAATAAGGCATTTTGTCAGTCTTACTGTGAAACTTCACCATTTGCTTTCCTGGGAATGCTGCAAATTAAGTACTGGGAGAACAAAAAACCTCATGTGTTATTAATAGCAACATTTACCCACCACCATTCTCCCTCCTACTGCAGGCCTGAGAACCAAATTAGATTAGTTTCTCCATGAAAAGGTGAGGAAAAGAGCGCTAGTTCCCACAATCCAGCTCAAACTCACCCTGTGTAATCAATGGTCACCCTGTAAACCTGCTATTCCATGATGCCCCCTATATTTCTGTAATCTCTTGATACAAATTATCAGAGTATCCCCGCAATTACATTCCAAATTTCTGAGGTGGCAACTGATTTCAAAGACTAAAGGAATTCAGAAGTCATGTATTCCAAGACACTGAGACTTCTGTCTGATCACTAGATTGTTCTTTCTAAAGTCTCACCTTCATGGCTTGGACTGCCACTAAAAATTAGCTGCATTTAAAAGGCATTTTGGTGGTTTGTGTTGCCCTAGTAACAACATTGAGACACTCTCTATGTTTACATAAACAACATTTTCTTTTTGGTATTACATAATGAGCACCATAACTACACCGTTAACAAAACAATGTATACTTTTGATCTATGTAACATGTTCATGCTAATTCCAACACAGAAACACTTGGCAGTGAATAGTGAAATCCACACCTTCAGCTTTCAGTCTGTAGTACCCTGTGTCACACTGAAAACACTACAGCAAGACAGTCATGTAAAAACTCTTCTCAGGTTAGAGCACTTCTTGGTTGATCTACTACTTCTTGCTACTACTTGCTTCAAAAGCATTTGAACTGATTAGGAGGGAACCTACTATGTGTTCTCTGTTTTCTTGGCTCTTCTGTTTCTTTCAAATTCCTTTGTTAGTATTACAAATTAGCAACTCCCTCCCTACTTCTAGAGCTCTGCCAAAAAAAAAAAAAAAAAAAGGAACTCTACAATGATAGTGTCTGCTGTAAATATATCAATACCTAATTGAGAAGAGTACAAAAGCTGTACCAAAATAGATATGTTTAGGTTTGAGGTTTTTTTTTCTTAGTTTCATTGGAAACAATCTTTCTTCTGGAGAAAGGGCTTCACTTTGGTGACTGTAACTCCTGAAGTATGTTAATGGACTTCTAACAAATCTGAAAACCTAAGGAGCAAAAATAAGCCTCTCTTTACACACTGAAAGTTATGCCTAGAAGATAGATTTCTGCTTTAAAACTGATTTCTTAATGTCTGGCTTTAGGACCTCTAAAATGCCTCCATGTAAGCTGTACCACCCATAAACAATGTGCTTCTGTATGCTACTCTACTAGTATGTTAATGAAAAGCATGCTAATGGAATGGCTAGCTTTTCCCTCCTATAACTACACTCAAGGAAGTACTGTTGACAATATATTTTATTTTTTAATCTGGGTCAGATTAGTACAACGACTTGACTGCCCTAGTTCCTTCTCAGCTGCTATCCCACAACTGATCTCAACAGGCATAAATAGGAGAGGCAGGCAGGAAGAATTTCCACATAAGGAGAAAGCAGTATACTACATCTAACAAATGCAAACCCTTACTCTCACACTGAGCAATTTAACACTTAGGCGCTAACTGCATCTTTAATACACCCAATGCCTAATGTAACTTCTGAACCAGTATCCTATTACCATATATGTAAACTATGACAAATAAGGCTATGCACTGAAGGAGTATTACAAGTGTACCTAGGCATTATTTGAGAAGATACTGAGCAAACTATTAGCTTTTAGACGACCCACCACCAAACTCTCAGACCACAAAATAACCTAAAGAAATAGATTTCTTGCTGTTAACTTGCTCTTGGGGTAGCAACAACAGTCTCAGAAAGGCATTCCTGTGGATGGACTGCTATGAAGCGTTTCCCATTAGTAGTACTTCACTGTGAAGAACCTTGCGGGGTGTGAAACCTGCCTACTGCATGAGAGCTGTTGTTTATATGCATTAAGGAGCAGGATTTTCTTCAGTCTTAATTCTGATAGTACTGGAGTAAGTGGTCAAACCGGAAAATAATTTTCGGAACGGATATGAAAAATCCCCCCATACGCAAAACAGCCCTGCCCTCGGGGACGCGCACCAGCCCTGTCACATCGAGAGAACGGAGAACAGCAGCCCTGCCCTGCCCTGCCCTGCCCCGCCCGGGGCGCGGAGCTGGCCCCGCCATCCCGCGGTTCTCAGGCAGGCCTCGCTCCGCGCCCCGCCATCAAACCCGCTCACACGCCGCGAGGCCTCCCTCGTCCCCCGCCCCGGTCGGGCTCTCTCAGCTCACGGCCCCAGCTGGACTAGGGCGCTTCCCCCGCCGCACCGCCCTGGGAAGGGCAACCGCAGCGGTCCTCTCCGCAAGGGCAGAGGCTAGGGGCGGGCAAGCCGCCATCCCTGCACCCCCTATGGGTGCTCTCCGTCTCACCGGGAAGCCACCGGAGCCGCAGTGGCGGAGAGGGGGATGCTGGGGCGGCTCGAACCCCGCACCGACAGCAGACGGCGTCGGGGGAAAAGGGGGCACAGCGAGCCGCAATCTGAGGGCAACGCGGGGAGGGAACGGCACCACCGGGAGGAGACACGCAGCCTGCGGAAGAGAGAGACACCGCGGAGCAGGCCGGCGGCTGCCGGCGAGGCCCGTGGCCGCTTGCCGCGGTGAAACGCCACGGTGACCGACCTGTCAGCAGGAGGGTGGTGAGCGCGCCTCCGCCGTGCGGCCAGGGCCCCGGCGCGCAGTACCGCATCGCTCCCCGCTCCTCCTGCCGCTGCTGCCGCCAGCGCTGCCGCCACATCCTCCGTAGCGGACCCCGCAGCGCCGCACCGTATCCTATCGTGCCCTGCTGCCGCCTCGCCCCGCGGCGTCCACAACATCCTCCCCGCCCCACCCCGCCGGCGGTCTCCAGGCAGCGCCGCTGCCCCGCGGGGCATGTCGGGAGGAGTCTCCCTCCACACCCCGGCTACGGCGGCCATGTTGGGGGGAGCAGGATGGGCGCGGGTTAGTTGGGCTGCTCGGTGGGGGGCTTTCGTAGAGCAGGGTCCGTAGGACCCGTTTCCCCTGAGGGTGGGAACAGGCTGGCTTGTGGGTCTGTGCCAGGGTTCGGTGCCTTCCCTGCCCTGGCACTGTCTCCGCGAAGAGGCGGGCTGCCGGCGCTCTCGCCTCAGGCCAGCAGTGTAGATGTGGCGGGGAGGGAAGTCGCGGTAAAGCGAGGCGCGATTAACGCGCCCGGTGGGAAAGGGGAGGCAGCAGCTGTGGTACCGTGCTACTGGCTTCTTGCAGCCCAGCGCCCTCCCTTGAAGCCAGGGTACAAGCGGCAGGGCAGGATACCTTGGAAGCTTGGCTGGTGCAGGCAGGTGTGGTGTGCTCTTCAGGGACATCATGGCTAAGGTCCTTGCAACATCAGTTTTCTGAACATCTTATCCCTTTTTAATTCTATATCACTATTCTTCATGTAAGTCCAGAGTGGTTTGTTTGTCAGTGTTCAGCAGCTGCAGCTGTCAGAGTTGTGGAGGGGATGGCCAGGGGTCCAAAGTTCCAGGCTGCAGTGAGTGTGGAGGCTTGTCACTTTTCTCACATTGCTGTCTTGCAGCTTTGTGTCCTCTATTAAAGGTTGTACCAAATTTCCTAAGTCAAGTCTGATCATCCTGTGCTGTCTCACTTCACACATTATGGTTTCTGGACTAACTGCTGATTTTTAACTGCCATTTCATGTCTGTAGCACAGTATTTGCTCCCAATGTGGAAGCAAAGCTCTACGTTGGAAGGAAGAATATTGTCAAAAGCAGGCAAAGGTGATGTATTTGGTGGGTGGGTGAATGTGTATGTCATATATAACCACTTCAGTAGGACACAGCGCTCTGTAAATACAGCAATTTATTTCAGGGAGCTGCGCCCTCTCAGTTTTAGATATGTTACCTATCAGAGTAATCCCTGTGCTAGAACTACATATAGAACCAGATCTAGACCCATACCTGTATTATTTATTATTTAGTAAGTTTGATTAGCACATTATTAAAACTTGATATTTCTTAGTTATGCATGGGAGGGTAGATTTTTTAACAAATAATTTGTGACTCTTGCTGTATGGCCTAGTATAGAAGTACCTTTTAAACAGGGGCAAGACTTGCATGGAGAGTTTCTGTGAAATATTTGCTTCTAATTGCATAGAATGCAGTTGAAGATCTTCGTTTACCTTCCACAAATAAAACCCCAGCTCAACGAATAAATGTTGCTCCTTTTATTTTCTGCTTCTGGTGGGTTGTCATGTTTGATATTTGCAAATTGCAGTAAGTCTTCCATTATCTGTGGAAATGACCTTCCCTTTTTTGTTCTGCATACGGAAGTTTGATTCTCATGATATTTCATAAGCATTTCCACTCTAGTGAGCCAAATGCATTTGCGAAGAATAATGATTGTCTGCTTTTGAGGTTTGGAAGGAAGAAATATAACCTGGCTTACTCAAATTGTATTGACTGTGTTGAACTCTTTATAAGCAGGGAATAAAAAGACACTGTAGAAGACTTTACCTTGTCTGGCTTTAGGCTTGTTACAGCTCTAAATTTCCAGTAATCCATCTCAGGAAAGGGAACTTTACGTAGTAAGAGGCTCTTCAGCACAGAAGTTCTGCCAGATACTAAGGTGCAGGATACCCTGGCGTTTTAGCCAGCTCATTATCCCAGATAAAGGATTTTTTCTTATTCTCTTTCCACTGTGACTTTCAGAATGTATTCACATTTTAATTTGAGTACGTAGATATTTAAGAGCAGAAATCACACTCTTTCATTTACCTCTGTCTAGAAGTACTCTTCTGTTTCATGAGACTTTGTAATTTTATGTAGGCCTGCTTCCACTCTGAAGTTATATGAGAGTTTTTGATTCATTCCCTTATGGAAGCATACAAAGCCATTGAGGTGCAACTGTGCCATAATGATCTCAGATAGCTAGCTCATCCTGTGATGGTAATGTTTAGACTAACAAGTGAGAATGCTGGTAGTTTTCCAACAATTTTTATGCTAGTGAAGTGTCTTGAGTGAACATCTGTACTGTTACCAGCTTATTAATTACCATTTTCTTTCCAAGTAATGTCGAGATGTTATTTCTATAGACACTATAAAACCGCCACCATCATTTTTTAATACGGTATCAGCAGTGTAGTAGTGTTCAGTGCTCTGCCACCTCTGCATAGAAAGAAGGCTATGTTTGTCTAAAGTGTGCTTGTGAGATGCACTGCCTGAGAAGACATGTTACTGGTTCATAGAGAAGTGCCACAAAGGCCTGGCTTGTTCCACTGCTTCCTTCACAGCAGCCATTGCACATGAGTGAGGGTCTATGTCTTTGTTGGTAGTCATATCTTGAGGCTGGGATTCCAAAGCATACAGAACTGACCCAGCTCTGCAAGACAGACTTTGATTTACCTGAGAAACTTTGGGTAATTCTATGCACTTCTTAAGAATTCTACCCTCTCATTCATGAAATGAAGTGATATGGGCAAAACAACTTGTTTAAGTCAGCCACCACTGACTTGATATTGGTTAGAAATACTCCCTCTGTATTTCTTTCTCCTTATACTGTAATTTAACAGACTGTAACAGAAATGAATGGAAAGGGATGTAGTGATGAGACATTTTTACAGAAATTGTTCCATATTCCATATATAGTGCATTTACTTTGGTGAGTAAAAGAGTTGGCATTAATTTTTAGCTAAAACTTTTTAATTCCAGAGTATAAACCCCTAATTTTTCTAGGGATGCAATGACAGTTGCTGTTTCCCCATGCATTCTGCACACTGGGTTTGAAGGTTTATTTTACTCTTCACAGATTCATGCAGAAGCAATACAACCTAATGCATTTGTACATTTGTCTTTTAGGATACAGGTGCTTCCAGCTTGATCTTTATAGATACTCAATGCTTGCAAGTGTTCAGTGCTTCAGAGGTGAGCCCACATGATTTTTTGTTTAAAAGAAGGAAGCACAGTTGGTGGGGTTTTTCTTCCTTTTTGTTTTTTAGGCACTCTTGTGGGGAAAATATTTGTGTATCTGTATATAGCTTTTAGTAAGGGTAACGACTAGTATGCCAAGTTATTATGTAAGACATAAAAAGAACAACTACAATTCGTGTTCCAGTTTGCAAGACCTTAGGAGTTCATAACAACACCTTTTATTACATTCCAAGGATTCTTACATTTTTCTTCTGTACTTTTGTCTTTCTCATGTTTACTGGAAGACTTTTGGCTGGTAGACATCTGCTGGTAATTTGTGCCTGCGGTATATTACTAGTTTTTAATGCAGCCTTTAACTATGTATTTTATGTGTAGCTATGCTACAGGACACTACATACAACAAAAAAATCCTCAGAAATGAGGGGTTTAAGAATTTTTATAAGTACCCAACAGATGCTTATTGAAACAAAGCACAGTATTCAAAATTAACTTCTAGAGTTGAACAGAGATTTTTATGAGCTGTGTTTTTACCTGATTTAGCCCATGTATTTTATCTTTTTTCCTGGAATTTTAAGTGATTAGGAGGAGCTCAGAAGATTGAATTATGTAATGTAGTACTGCAGAAGATACCATGGCTTTGGAGAAAGAAGGTTATATATGGCCAAATATGGAAGTGATAAACAAGAACAAATTAAAAAACAAGAACTTGGAAGAAATAAGTGCACTCTAAGTTAAAACAGACCACATGTGACTTACTTCAGTTTGCTGACCCAACACTTGTATGGCCAGTAGCCTTCTGTGTCAGTACTTTGGCCTTATTATAGAGGGTATGGTTTCACATGTCTGAGAGTACTTGTGGCTTTTTAGACATGCACTAGTGCACCTGAAACACTGGTTCTTGTCAGCATTATAGGAGAGTTTTCACTCTCTTTGTATGTACACATGGCCCATGTTTGCCCCTCTCTCCCTCGTTGGGCAGCAGACAGTGAAACAATATTGAGGTGTGCTTTTCTTTTATGAGACTTCTATTTCAGACATACTTGCTGCTGGGTGATCACTGATTGCTCATACCTTAGTTTAAAAGAGAAGTATTGACTGTGATTTCTGTCACACATTTTTTCCTGTGGTCAGTGCTTTTAGGGAACATGTTGGTTCAAAGAATTAATATTTCTGTACTTCTAGCTGCTATTCTGGAAAAGTACAAATACCACTAGACAGTGACCAAGTTTGATTTTTTTCTCTCCTTGCTCTGTATTGAGAAAGGCTGCATTTTGTAGAATGGCACAGAGGATAAATAGTTTACATATTTATCGTGGGGCAAAAAATAGTACCAGAATACCAGAACCATTATCTGAATCTCTTAAAATGTCTGCCTGTCTTACTTGGATTAGACTACTTAGTCCAGTGTAAGTATCACTAAATTATTTTTTATTTCATCTTCCTGGGAATTCTGTCATTTCTAAATCTCTAGGTTTTAACTTGGCATAATTTCTTGTAAATTCTACATAGAGAAGTTAGTCTGATGACTAAATTAGTTAAAAATTCTGAACTAACTCTCGAATCTTCATTGTTCATCAATTCTGAAGTTATCCACAAGAATTCCTGTTTCAGCTTTTCTTGTAATCCACATCAAGGCAAACCTCCCCCACCTGGGAAGGTAAGAGTGGGTGTCTGTTCAAAAGCATATGTGAAATACAGTTAGAGTTAATGGCTGAAAAATGAGAGCTTCTAAATTCTGCTAACATGTGGCTGCCCAAAGCTATGCACCTTTTGTGGATACTGTAATGAGTAAGGTCCTCTGTACTTCATATTCCTGCTTGCGGAAACAAGAATATTTATACTTTGCATTATTTAATTTTCTTATTTTTCCCCCTCTTTTTAGCAGAGCATAGGCCCTGGAGTGCAGCTGCATAATGATGCCCTCCCTGGATGCACAGTAGTTCAAAAGGAATTATTAGAGAAAACAATGGGCTAGATGAGCACATTGGCCCATGCAAGCTGAGTGAGTAAATCCTCAT